ATTGCAATTTTTTTCTATCCGCATGCACATTTTATATAAATAGCGAATACTTTTTTTGGATTTAATTGGATTCAATTGGATGCAATTGGATTGAAAAACTGCATTTCCTATTCAAAATTTTGAATTAAGCAGTATTCACAATGCAAGAAAAAGCTAATTTATTATTTTTAGATTGAAAGGCATAGAGATATGCAATTCCTATAAATGAATAAAAATGCATTCAGGGTTAAAAAGCATTTTAACATTCATAAATCCATATTTCTGAAAATCTGAATTCATTTCAATTCATTTCAATCCATTTTCGTTTGCTTGGACATCGTCAACAAAAGTCAATATTCATAGCTTGATCTTGCAGAAGAACGTTTTAAATATGATATTGAAATGCTGTATGGGCGTATGGCCATTTAATTTATTGTTGTACGGAATCTTAAGATGGTATATACTTGTATATATAACCAGAATTGTGATTTCGAATACAACATTGGACCGAACGGACTATAAATATCGAATAATGATATATATATATATATAAATGTTTAAAATACTTTTGAAATGATTAATTATAAAAGCTAGTAACATTTTAGAAGATCGGAACGGAATAAGTTTGGATGTCGCGCGGAATCTTGCGTACGATACATCATGCAGCGCGAGATATTACGCCAATAAAGACAGAGCGCTAAAGTCAACTCAATTTGTCCTTACACAGTGAATAATTGAAGCTTCTACGAACAAAGCGGTCAAGAATGTGTAAAGAGATACAAATTCATATTTTAACGATACAAGAAATATTATGATTCTAGATCGTTCCATTTATTGCGTAACTTCTGTGTATCGAATTTTCCAAGTTCCGAGAACAATCTGGAATAACAACGTTATAAAATAACGTGTCAGCAGCAATTCGGCACAGTTTAATACCGACCATCACGTAAATTACGTGTAAATTTGCGCGTTTTGACTGTTAAATAACATTTTACGAAGTAGACAATTTAATTCTTCTTCCATTATGGATAGACCAATAGTGACTGTGAAACAAGGAAAACTGCAAGGAATTTTTGAAGAAAATGTTCTTGGTTCTCGTTATCTCTCTTTCAAAGGCATACCCTTCGCTGCTCCTCCCATACATGAATTGAGATTTAAGGTAAACTTATTTATCGAATTTAAATAATTTCTAATTTATTTTTATTTATTGTATCCTCTGGTGAAAAAATTTCGCTGAAATTATTCTACGTTTTGAAACATTTCAGCGAAATTGTTGAAAATTGCTGAAATTTCATTGAAAGTGAATTTTTCAGCTAACATACTGAAAAATCGTTAAAATTGAACTGAAATTTGAAATTTCTCTAAAATTTTTGCTGAAATTTTGCTCAAAAGTGTTCCAAAACGTGGAATAATTTCAGCGAAATTTTTTCACCAGGGTTCCGTTAAAAAATATTTAATTATATATATATATTCTAATGCATTTTACAATTATTCTGCTTGCTAACAAAATAATAAGTTAATTGATTTTATAATTATCTTGTAATTATTGCGATATAAACTGTCATCATTTGATATCAATAGTATTTTACTATTAATTCAAAATTAGGATCCCCAGCCTCCTGCTCGTTGGGAAGGTATTCGAGATGCTTCTAAAAATGCTGGCGATATTTGTGCACAGTTGAATGAATCAACTGGAGAGGTCATTGGCAACGAAGATTGTCTTTATCTTAATATTTACATACCGGACGATATTTATCAGAAAATTGCAAATCCAGTTATGGTTTATATTCATGGTGGGGGTTATCTTTGGGGTTCTGGTAATGATACTAACGTACGACCTGATTATCTTCTAGCAAAAGGTGTCATTTTAGTGGCCATAAGCTATAGACTTGGTGCTTTTGGTAAGATTTGTAAGAGATTTCCAAGAGAACCTATCTCTTGAAATATAAAAATTTTTTATCATATATCTATAAAAGATACAGAGCAGAGTATGCACGTCTAACGAGATACACATCGAAATATTTTATTTTGTAAGGTTTTTTGAATGTTGGTCATGAATTAGCAAGCGGAAATCAAGGTATGAAAGATCAAATTGCCGCATTAAAATGGATCAAAGAAAATATCGAGGTTTTTGGCGGTGATTCAAATAATGTTACTGTTTTTGGTGTCAGTGCAGGTAGTACTTCTACGCATTTCTTAACGTTATCACCGTTATCTAAAGGTATAATAATATATATATTTCGTTAAAAAATGAAATATTTCGCACATATCAACACATTTCACGCATACACGCATGCATACCTCTCTAGGTCTCTTCCACAAAGCTATTCTTCAGAGTGGTGTAGTTACATGTGATTGGGCAATGATAAAAAACGAACCACAAGCCAATTCTTTTAAACTTGCATCTAAACTTGGTAACAATTCTAAAAATCCTAAAACGGTTGTTGAGTTTCTCAAAACAAAATCCTTTGCTGAAATCGTCCAAGCGCAATATACGGTTCTCACTCCAGAGGTGAGAATTATATTTTTTATATATTTCTTTTTTATTTTGTGTCCAAGAATTAAATTATTCTAATGCATCGATAAAATGTAAAAATTTATTAATTTTAAATACAAATGTGATAAATATTCAGATCAGGGAACCCTCCCCCCCATGATCTTGACTTTGATATATATTGTTAAGATCAAGGTTATTGGGAGGGAGGGGGGATCCCCTGATCTGGAGATTTACACAAATGTTACGGACAACACTGTTATTGTTAACTATTATTAATTCAAGACGAATGTTTCGCAGAAAGCGCGCACTCTTTTTATTCCATTTGGACCTACAATCGATGATAAAGCAAAAACACCTTTTCTTCCATGTCCCATCTCTCAGTTACTTGACGAAGGCAATAATGTACCAATTATGATTGGTTCTACTTCTGATGAATATATCTTTTTCCTTAGAAGTAATAAAATTAACATATTAATAAATTTATTTATACTAAATATCTTATGTCATGTAATATATATTATATAAGATATATTATAGATATTTTATATATATATATATATAATTTTCAATAGCTTTGCATTCTTTTAAATTCATAGATCGTTATCTGTTAATAGATACCAGCGAAGAAACTTTGAAGACAATGTATACGGATCTACCACTATACATAAAAAATTTTACAAACTCGCAAAACTCCCTAAAAATAACGCAATTAACTAAACGAGTTAAAGAAAAATATTTTAATAATAAATCTGAATTCACTGTAGAGAGTATCCCATCTATTATACGATTTCTAAGTGATCTGCATTTTAATATTCCTATTGAAGATTTCGTGGATATGCGAAGGAAAAGGAAGCAAGCACCGACTTATATGTACAAATTTTCCTACATCGGCGATCAGATGACTCTAACGAAACTTTTGGGAAATAAATTGACTGGTATATGAGTTACTAAATTTATAAAACTCTTGATTGAAAGCTACTTTTGTCTACTTACTTTATAATTTTAATATAATTTTTCAGGAGTTTCTCATACTGACGATATGTCATATCTTTTTTATCAACCTCCTTGTAAAGCTAATGATCCCGCTCCGCCGGCAGTAAATACAAGAGATCGAAAAATATTAGAAATTCTTACAACAATGTGGACCAATTTTGCAAAGAAAGGGTAACTATCATAAGTTTTGTAACATATATACGGATATTGTTAGAAAAGATGATAATAATAAAGTAAGATAAAAATATTTTTTTGTTTTTAGACATCCTACACCTGTCTTAGATCAGTATGTAACTACTAGTTGGATACCAGCAACAGCAAATGTTTTTAACTATTTGGATATCGATGATGATCTTCAACTATTAACCATCACTAATTATGATAATACATTGGCCAAAGAGGTGGAGTTATAAAAATTTTGCAAACATAGTATACTAACCAGTGCGAAATTTCCCAAGTTATAAGTCTTTAAAATATACGTATAACATAAAAAAAATTTAATAAATTGTTCAACTAACTGAACACATTTAGTTTATTTGCAGATTTGATTAAGTCAACAAATTGTATTTTATTGAATTTATATATGTTCCGTAATTTGCTTAACATTGAAGTTGAACAGTTTATTAAGCAGATTACGGTTGAATTCAATCAAATAAAATTTGTTGAATTAATCAAATCTGCAAACATTAAATGTGTTTAGTTAAAACAAAACATTTTTTTTCAGTTTACATTTTAATATTTGAGCACACATAGCACAATATGTATACATAAGCGCGCGAGATTTTATATATATAATATAAATATCAAATTTATATAAATACCAAATATAGATATTATTATGTATACAATATATATATATATACATATATTTTTTTTTGGTATATTATATATAATTTAGTATATTTATATAAATAAAAAAACATTTGTATGTACATATTAATATAATCTGTGTAAATGTAGATATCTTTTATTTATCTACATAACTTATAGTATTAATACAGATGTTGCTTGTCTCATTATTACAATACAATTGCGGGAATATGTTCGTACAACTATATAATCACAAATTCAAAGTATACTTATGTATTTTGTCAACAAATAAAATGCTAAATATAATATCAATTATTCACGCTTATTCAATTATGAACATATATAGTTTTTAAAATTGTTTTTGTTAATATACGTATATAATAATGCATACTGCGAATATTTATAAAACTGAAAAATAACAAAAAATATATTTCAATATTGCAAAGGTATTTCTTTTAACTTGTGGATGCAATTATAATTAGCGTTTAAATAAAAAAACATTAAAACGTAGATTATTTTTTAATACAAAAATTTAGTATTAAATTAACTTTTTCGTAAACGTGATCAATAAAAATTACATAAATTATTTGGATAAATTCCATACAAATAATTACTCATTTTAATAACTATATACTTTTTCTATCAAATCAGTATGATTTAGATTAATATCGTTGATAAAACAATTTAAATTTATTTTTTAATTAGAAATGATAAGCAAGAATTTTTACTTGAACTGTATTTAATGAATTATATATCACGCCTTTATATGTATCTAGAGTACAATCTTTCTACATATGTATAATTTCTTGCAAACAATATATTTCTGTGGCGGACCGATACAATAGCTAGACGCTATCTCACAAAAACAATAGCACTTAGCGCATTATAATTAATTCATTCGCATTAGACTTGACATCTTTTTTACTAGAAGCTCCTTCGTGCTTCGAACTCCTCTGGACCTATACATATATTTTACTTAAAAGTGATATGACGTTCTACTTAATTCACAATTTATATATTATATCCAATATGTATTATAAAAGTTGACTTTAGTTGTTCCAGAATGCAAAAGCTTTTTGTATTCTTTCTTTGTGTGGCTTTTCTGTAATTATAGTAGCAGGATACGAGCGCTGCGCTATCGAAATTTGTGAATTATTTGAATTTGATCTTTCACTTTCTTTTTCGAATATTCTGGCCGTACGATTTACATTTCCGGTTGAAAAAAATTTGTTGCAATTGTATCTGCTTAATATCCTTGCGTCCGTATTCTTGTCAATAACTGCAAAATTGTAAGATTTTAATAATACCATCTTATTTTTTGTCCATGATAAATAATTGTAAGTATTATAAGCAAAATTAATTACATACACACACCTTTCCGCACAGGATTAGTTTCACACGAAGCTTTAATCATGTCACTCTTTGTAGCTACCTTGTCATTGTCCGTAATAATTTCCATGTCGCAAGGAAGGGTTTTCTTGCCTTGTACTAAACTTGCTAAGATTCCTACTGTTGAACTTGATCGATTTTCTTCTTCTTTCAATGTCCGTTTACTTTCTCGGTTGTAAATCTCAAGATCTAGTTCTTCTTTGATAGTGGACACTATTCCAAGTTCATCTACTTGTAATGAAGAACTTACCAGGCTTGAACTGCAATCACTTATTCCAGAATCGCGTGAATCGCCTCGAAACACTCTACGCAATGACTGCGATTTTAAAGTCATCTGTTGTTCTATCTCATTATCAGAAAGTTTATCGATTAATTCTTTATCACTTTCCTTATTTTCTCTTGCTATCGAAATTTCTAGATGCTCCGTGATATTTTGTGAAATATCCTCTACCTTTGGTATTAATTCGGTATCTAATTCTTGAATCTCTTTTTCAGTATTCATCTGTTTTGAAAAATCACTCAAACTACTCTCTTCCTCCATCGATGTTTTTTGTATTGCCATATTTACTTCCGTCACACACGTGAAATGCAATTTTGTTAATGATTCCTCTTCGGCAGAGTTTTCTCCCATGCTTGTTTCAATACGTTCCGTATCTTTACTATTGATAGCAGTATGGATTGATTTAATTTCGTCAGAGTATTGCATTTCGGTGCTATCAAATTGTTGTTCAATTGTAGATGACTCTGCCGTTATTGCGGGACTACGTCTACTATGCGCCGAAAGAATTGCCATTCTTCCTAATGCGCGAATGGCATTTCCTGTTTTCTGTTAAAATAAACAGCACACATGCACACTGAAGACTTAAACACATGCTAAGATTATTTAAAAAAACAAAGTCTAAACTAGAAAAAATAAAATGATTAGATTAATTAAGAAAATTTAGCAATTAATAATATATCATAATTAAATAGCAGTTCAGTTTTTTATTGATTTTTTATTTTAACATTTTTAATAGCATGAAACGTTTTGCTGTCCCAAGCATTTTTTTTTGTTTAAAAGTAATATTCATCTATTTCAAAATTTTGTCATGCATTCCTTTTTACTTTCAAAACAATTATAATATAATTTTTAACAAAGTCTTGATACATACCTGCCACTTTCTCCGTATGATAAATTTCTTTAGTTTTTCTGTCGGCAAGACTATTCTGCTCATAGCCATAGTATGTTGTGCCATCCATGGATGTTTTAAGCACTGCGTGGCTGACATTCGTAATCTGTGCCAAGAAATACACAATAAAAAAGATTTAAGTTTATATGTGATTAGATTGTAAATAGCTTTCTAAAATAAGAAAGATATAAAAACTTACTCTTTTCGTTTAATAAGTAAACCGCTGATAAAGTTCTTAGCGTCATTTGAAATGGCATCGAAAGCATCGTCGTCTAAATCATAATCCGCTCGTGTTATGTTAGCGAAAGTCTCGGCATCATTGTCTCCCATGAAAGGCGACAAGCCGGTTAATCTATGCATCATAATCACTCACAATAAATTTATATATTAGTTAAAAATAATTACTTGAAAATGTAATTAGTATACGTACAGAACATAACAAATAACACCGACACTCCACATATCTGATTCAGTACCGATGGGTTCGTAACTTATAATTTCCGGTGGAATAAATTCCGGTGTGCCAAAAAGTACTCTGATTGGTGTATCAGACTTTAAAGTCTGAGCCAATCCAAAATCAATTAATTTAATTTGATGAGAAGTTCGCGTACGGCACATTATATTTTCCGGCTGTATAAAACGAACAGAAGCATACGTACATTTTATTAGTTAGTTATTAACTATAATAATAAACTATTATCCATCACAAGAAATGTACTTTCAAATCTAGATGAACGATTTTATTTTGATGCATATACTCGACTCCCTGACAAATCTGTCTCATAAAAAGAATGCTGTCCTTTTCGGTTAAAGTAAAGTCGTCGGCTACTACTCTTTCGAACAATTCTCCACCTGAAATACTAAAAAAGATTTTTAATATTATAGTATTATTAAAAGTTAATATAATAATTAATCTAAAGAACATTATTAGATGTATTTACTATTCTGTGATCAGCACTGTTTCACGAGATTTTTCGTAAGCAGCAGCTAGTAGCAGAAGCTTAGGATGCCTTAATGCGTTCATAATTTTAATTTCTTCGCGGACTTGTTCGCGGTCTTTCGCTTTGATCGTTTTGACAAATTTGGCAGCAAAATTCATGCCAGTCGGTCGTTCGATGACTTTTCTAACTACACCATATCGGCCTTTTCCTAGTTCTTCGAGAACGTCGTATTTTTCGCCAAAAAATTTGCCCTCTTCCGGTACTACCAAACGAGCTTCAAAGCTTGGTTCAAATTCGTCTTGTAAAAAGTAAGACGATCATTTTATAACAATTATAATTAAATTTTTAATTCACATTTTTTTAAAGAGGATAATGTTTTAAATACTTTCTTAAAAAACAGATAAAATAAAATATTGGAGTACCTTCTTCCTCTTGAAACATTGTTTCTTCTTGTTTTGGAATTCTAACAGGATCAGACTCCATGCCAGGATCACTGAGTCCGTGAATATTTTCAGCTCGGATACGGAAATAGTAACTCTCACCCGGTATCACGGAATTCCTTCCAGTTGTTGCTACTGTGTGACTCAGCGAATGACTAGACTCGGTGATTACTGTCCACGTGCTTTCACCAACGCGTTTTACTTCCACAGTATATCCGATCACGGGGCGACCTCCGTCGTACGGTGGTAATCGCCAAACGATTGTGGTCTCACCAGCGTTGAAGTTTACACTCGGTTTATCCGTGAGTGGCTCGGGTGGACCTGAGTAGAAATTAAAATTTTCCTTTAACGAAAATGATACGTTTAAACACTATTTTCATTCATGTGAATTGCACCGAAAGTCACTTTTATAATTGTTTTATGGCACGCGCTATTATCTTATCGGCAATTCGTGCGATTAATTTAAATTTTATCGTAATAATGTTGCAGATATCAAACACAGAGTCGAAATGATCCCGCGTGTTTTAAAAGAATTTGAACGTCATTACATTAAGTTATTACATTAAGATACGCTGCGACACGTACATTCTTTCTCGTGATCATACGTCTTTTGATGCTTAGGCAGTTGTACGATAGTTCAAGAAAAGGGAAAAAGAGGTGGAATGATGCTAGTAGAGGAAGCGCTGAAAAGAGGAATTATTATTGCGCGGTATGTCACGTGAGATTGTCGTCTGCCTTGTACGCAAGAAAAGAAACTGGATTGTGCAACACGCATTTACGCACATGGAACAATGGATGACGTTTCGTTTATGAGCATGTGGAACAGTCCAATCGTAAAAAAAACGTTTCTATTGAGTATCGTTGATCCTCTCTGTGTTGATGCTCTCTCCGTATGTGTAATTAAACTTAATTAAGTCAAGGTCGAGTTGTATAACGTCGAGTCATAGTCTATTAGCTATTAGTACCATGAATTTTTGTGTATGAGAGTGTTTCGTGAAAGCAAACGATATAAACGGATAGTTTACCTTCCACAGCTAAGCTAAAGAATCTTCGATCTTTGCCTAATGAATTTTCCACTGAGACTTCGTATTTTCCAACGTGATTGCATCGTCGAGTATCACGTAAGATGTACCGTGCCTGCTGACTATTTCAATTTTTTCGCTTCGTTGCAATTCTCGATTCTTAAATTAAAATAAAAATATTTTATGTATGTTATGTATTAATATATGTCAGAGAGCTAGGCACTAATTATTTGAGAATTAATATAACATAAATAAAGTTGATTCACGCCAACTGTTGTATGACGAGAAGCAAATGACACGATTGCTCTACGTATTTCGATTGGCTTTCCCAAAGTTTAAACATCTGCCACATTCTGGTGGAAATTTTTATGTGGAGATATTGTAAGAAATATTATTTAGATATAATTCCCGAGGCAAATGATAAGCAAACGACCATTCTGAATGATTAATTTCTGTGTAAAGATAGTTCCCAGATAACATGCATGTTGCATAAGATATCTAAAAGATATCTTTTAGACATAAGACATCTAAAACTTTTTATGCAACATAAATGTTATCTGGGTTCATGTTTATCTGCGCTGTGATATAACTCAAATTTAAATTAGACGTCATAGTATTATTATATTATATCGATGTAATTTATATTATACGTTAATCATGAAAGAAGTATAGAAATTCTCTCTCACTGAGAATAATAATTTTTTTTAAATTTATTTGTAAAATGTATTTGTTAAATTAAAATGGATATTTCTCTCTTGACACTAGTCGATAAAATTTGTATTAGAAGCAAAAGAAATGAACCTACCACTTGAAGCCACTTGACTGTCGGTTCGGGATATCCTTGATAAGTTACTTCGAGTAGTACTCTGCTTCCTCTAAATACGCTAGTGTCAGTTGGTTCTTTAATTATTGTAGCTTTTATCAATTCTCGAAGACGCGATTCCACAGATTCTTTTTTTGGTATGGAGTCAATATTCTGATGAAAAACTTGTTCCGTTTTCTTTGGCAATAAATTTATGAAAGTATCAGTTATATCTTCTTTGTTTAATGAAGATGATAATCTTTGATCTTTGGAAAATCCTAAATTATTGTCTAAATTTTCCTTTATAATTCTTTGTATCGACAAATCTTCCGCAAATCGTGATTTTTTGACATTTGACGTATTATTAGAAATGCGTTTTCTTATTGACAAAGACGAAATATGTTTGGTATACGATGCAGTACATCGAGGAAACGAAGATGATTTAATACGCGTTAGCGATTTTTCATAATGTCGCCGATATTTTAATGACGATAGTTTTGCAATTTTTTCCGTCATGCTTATAAGATTAGTGTTTGTTGATGATAGTTTGGTTTGTGCATGAGATTGAATATTTTTAGATTTCGTCACAGAGTCATTGAAATTGCATAACAGATTTTGTAATTGTAGCTTGGCAATGCAACTGATGGACGGACCCTTCCCGTTCAAGGAAGCTATACATCGAACTTCGCCTGTATCACGTAATGATATGTCACGTATTCTTAAGATGCTGACATTACCATCTTTTTCAATCTTTAAATACAGAAATGATTACAATTAACAACAATTACAGCTTAAAAAATTAAAATCTACATTTTATTAATAATAAAATGTGTGCATATATATGTGTGTGTATGTGTGTGTGTGTCTGTGTGTATTTTTACGTACTTTACATTTTGCATTTTCTCGAGCATCTTTTCCATTAATTGTCCAAACAATTTCTATAGGTTTTCTACACTGCGTTCTGACACAGAAACAAGCGGTAGTGCCTTTAGCAGCAACAACTGGTAACGGAGTTTTTGTAAATTGGAGCGCTGGCTTGAAAACATCTTTGTAATCTGTTTTAAAACGTTAGAAGATGTAAAGCGATAGTATTAAATAAAAGGACAATCTAATAACAATATTAAAATTAAAATAATTTAAGAATAAATCAGACCTTGAACAGCAAAAAGACTACTGCACGACGCAATACCAAAATCGTTTCGTACAATACAGGTATATTCACCGGCATCCGCTGGACGAACCTCAGCTATTCTGAGAGCAACACCTCCATCTTCATATATAATATATTTATAATAATCACTATCAGGTAATTCGCGACCATCCTTGGACCAAGTAATCATGAAAGGAGGTGTACCTGAAACAATATGGAGAGAGATTATATTTTAAAAGATTTACTTTGTTTAAAAAAATTTACTTAACTTAGCTAAACATAAATTTAAAGAATAATTTAAGTACCTGTGATCCCAGCTTGAAATTCGTGACAATAATTCTCCATGACAATTGATTCTTTGGGCAATGATTGCAAAAATTGCGGTGCATTTTTATCCGCGATAGACAAATCGTAAGAACTTAATACAGTTACCTGTGAATAATCATATATTTTAAATTAAAAGAAGATTTAAAGAAATGATGACAAATTGTTATGACAACTTGTATTGGATTTTCACCTGACAACTATTTCTCGTTGATCCAAGAATATTGGTTGCTACACAGGTGTATTCACCCGCATCACTAGCTTTTATTTTTGATATTTCAATTCTGGCAGTTGTGCCATCAAAATATCTTTTTACTCTGGAAGATCGTTCTAACGGTCGTCCATTTCTAGACATAAATTATATTTTAATAATGTTTTATTGTAGATTTCTCAGTCAATAAAATTTCTTTATTTTTACCTGTACCACGTTGATATTACGTTCGGCGTTCCTCTTATGCGACATTCTAATTGTAAACGACTGTTTATTCTACTGGTAGTCGGAAGAAGACTTCGATCGAACGTAGGATATGTTCTAGGTGAGGCACTTCTAGTTCTGATAGTTCGACTTATTGATTCGTATCGATCTATTTATAATTAATTTTATAGAATGAGAATATTTGTAAGATAGAAAGAGAAAGTACCTCTCGTTATTTACACATAAGGTGTCTCATTTGAATTTTGGACGCAACTTTTATCTCCCCAAATATTTATTATTCCAAAAAATGTTTCAAGAATTATCAAAGTTACTTTGTTTCGAGAAGGACATCTTTCAATGATTACAGATCCTCTATCTGAAAGATGTTCTTTCAGTGATTCAGATATTTTTGCTTGAAACATTTCTTGGAATAACAAATAATTTGGGAAATAATTGGATTCAAAGTTTCAAATAGGACACGTTGAATACGTACTTATTACTTCAAGACGAGCACTGGCCTCAATTCGACCAAAATCGTTTTCTGCTGTTACTCTGTAGAGAGCGGCATCTTCTCGCATTACATCGATGATTTCAAGTATCTTAATATCGTCTCGTTCTTTGATGGAGATTCTCGTGCTCGGTGTTACAATGGTACCATTTTTGTCCCATCTTATCCAGGGTGCAGGATGACCGACTATGGCACATTGGAAACGCACAGTTTCGCCTTCTTGAACTAGACGATTATGCGGCACTGCATAAAATTTCGGTGGGGAAACCTTCGGCTTCTTTGATATGTCGCTTCGCGGCAGAACTTGCGGCGATCTAAATTCACGTCCGTCTAAAAATAATCTTTATTATTTTTGACATTATCGTTATTTAATTATTTTATTTCTTTTTCTTAAACTTTATCCTCTTTTTTACAAAATTAAGTCTTTTATTTTATTTTAGACTTACGTGGAACTGCTGGTGACAAGCTTCTGACGGGTGTCGATCGCGGTGTTGATCTCGGAGTCGATCCTGCTGACAGCAGACCCATTGGCCTCATCAGTCTCTGGCTCAGTATATTTTCTTTTCCCTCGGGAACTACGGTATACATTAATTTAAATCCTTATAACTTCAGAAAATTTTTACATTAAGGTCTTCCACAGGTACATACATATTATTAAGAATATATATTTCATGTAATTATGATAAATTCGACGTTTAATTATCAGTCACGTTGTTTCGTAATCTTTGAAAATATAACCGAAAATATAACAATTAACAAATAGGAATTAGTAATTTAAAGAGATATTCACAACTTGCACCACGATCTTTATTTGTGTGAATCTTTATATATATATATATCTTTCAACAGTCATATGTAAATTACCATCTACAACTAAACAGGCCGATGTATATGCTTTTCCAAGATCGTTGTAAGCCACACACGTGTATTCTCCTTCATCTTCAGGATAGACATGTTGGATATTTAATCGTGCTGTTTCACCATCGAATTCAGTAGCAAAATCGCCAACCATAGTTATAATCTGATAAAAAGTATTTTAAATGTTATGTTAATTTAATAGCTATGTATATGCGACATTACTAAGCATTTCAATCTCTTATTACTTTGCCTCCACGTTCCCAACGAATCAAAGGTGGTTCTGGTGTGGCGTAAACCTTACACTCCAAGGAGACAGCGTCGCCGTCGCAACACCGAAGATCTCGCAATTCTCTCTTTATAATCGGCAGAGTCAATACCTTTCTATAGAATTTAATGTTTTATTAATGGAACGAAGTAAATAGAAACGTCATTAAGCTGTCGTAATAGCTTACCCGTGAAGAGATTTCTGCGTTTGTTCCTCTTTGCCTTGTCCTGGAATCGAAAATGAAATAAATTTATATAATGTAAAGCAAATTTTGTTTATGTTTCGAAATTTACCTTTGGCATAGATTTGCAAGGAAATTATAGCTTTAGCTTCCCCATGGCAGTTGCGAGCTATTACGGAATATGTTCCAGTAAAGTCGAGCTTAGCGTAAGGTATTTCCAACCGATATTGTGGCCCTGCACCTACCAGCCGGAAATGAGGTGCGTCCTTATAGTAATTAGGCTGTAAAACAGAATTCATATGATAAAAAAATATGATAAAAAAATTAGAACCTGAGCATTTAAGATTATAAATACTGCAAGCAAATCTAATTGAATCGAATCATGTTCATTCATTTCGTATCATGTTTACTGTTTCTTATCAATGTTTGTTCCGTTCTTCTTTATTTCATACACGTGAATTTCATTGTTGACCGTAACATACTCGGCCACAAGTGCGATTTTAAATTGTTGAGGCATAAAGAAGTGATTAAAAAAATCTTTAATTAAATAATGTGAAAACAATTTGGATATTAATATATTTGGATGTTTGCAATGATAATATCATTCAATTTGACAGCATTTAATTTATGATACCATAATAAAAAGCAAGGATACATCAATTTGAATGACAAGTTGATTTAACGTGTCCTCAATCGTGATCACTTGTGCGTAATTGTATTATGCTCATGTCAGATAACTTTAATTTACAATCTCCAATGTATAGTATGACGCAGGTTTGGATCGTTTGGATATCTTCTAGTGAATGTATTCAGATCGCTTCTGTGTTGTATTGACAGACTAGTTTTTACGCAAGACGGGGTTAAAACTCAACGTGTGATGTTGAAGACAATGAAGACAGTAAAAAGAGAGAAAGAGAGAGAGAGAGAGAGAGAGAGAGAGAGAGAGAGAGAGAGAAATATGTCTTCGTCATGGTTCTAGTCCATATAGGGAGCGAAAGTTGAACAGATGTTCTGGTTAAATATACTATACATATGAGTACCAACGTATATTCTTGTTCCTCGTTATATATTTTCATTTTAATGATTTAATATATTTCAACAATGTTTAGATACATGAGAGAGCTACGATCTTTAATTTTTGAATTCTAGTCATATCTTACACCTATCACATTTATTTGTCTGCGCTAAAATTTATGAGGAGGATATTTTCCGATTACAAAAAATAGATGTTATAAATTCTTCTCTAGTCTAAAAGACTCTTGAACTTTCTCATATAGTATATATTATACATAATATATATATATATATATTTACCATAGAATTATTTATATATATATAATTGCATACAATAAAACGAAATATAGAATAAAATTAAACTTTTAATTTCAAATTAAATTATATTTATAATAAATTTTAAGAGTTAAACAACTATGTTTAAAATCGTACATTATTTATTGAATGTACATTATATTTGTAATTATATCTGGTAATTTACAATTTGCGTATCCGTAAATAAAAAACAAATTAGCTTGATTTAGAGTTTAGGATTTTGATTTTTTCTTTTAGCTCTAATTATAAATAATTACATATATAATTCGCAAAGTTTTATGCAAGAGTGGAGACTATTTCTAGGGTAATTTTTGATGTTGAGTCTGAATTTGTTATTAAAATATTTTCTTTAAGTTCAATTTTCGAGATATGAGAAAATATTTTTCTTCTTAATGTTACATAATAAAGTTTTATTGAAATTGAAAAATAACTTAAAAGTGTTTAATGTTTAATTTTTGTTTTTTTATGGCTTTGGATTGATTTCACGTATTAAAATTTATCAATGATCGCTTAGCAACACGTTCAATTTTAGCCGTTCCAACATTCCTGATGGAAATATTTACTTTGCTCATCACTTATTGCATCCAAATTATTTGAAGAGGAATTCTCTAAATTCTGGAATCTCACTCTAAAGAATGAAAATTTTGAGCCAGTTTTGAAAAAACGTGGCTTAATTTTTAATTTTTAAGAGTGCGATTTTTCACTTTTTAAAATATTAGATTTACTCTAAAACTTTTAGAGAGAATACTATATTTTAAGAATTGACATGCTGTATCTTAAAAGACATGCTATATCTTAAAATTAACATGATATATTTAAAAAAAATTTAACTTAATGAAATTTTTCTGACAGATTTGAACTTAACGCCCTATGTTAAAAAAATGGTTTAGTTTTCTTTTACTAAAATTATTAAAAATTTGTAAATTAGTGTTATTTAAATTAATAATTTGATGTCATACTTACACTATTGTATTTCACATTGAATTAAATCTAATTTTGTTGGTGAATATAATATATAGAATAATTAAATAAAAATTTGTCTGTTGATTGCTAAAAATTGTGAATTTGATAAAAACAGATTAAGAGTATGTGTTTCATAAATTAAATCGAAATATTCACGTTTTGCACAGAACGATGGTTTCATGTCATACTTATAGCGATCAAAAATTGAAGCGCTTATTCGTTTGCTAAAGTTACACGATGACTAAAGTTTGGTGCTTGTATTACAGTACCGATTCATCGGCGAAAGAAGGCCGAGTTGGTCTTGACGACAAGTGGGGATACTATTCTGTGCGTATTTTACGGATATGCACGTTTTCTTTTTGGTCAGTGCACGTTTTGTTTCCTATCTTGGATTCATATATTATTATAATAATATATGTATAATAAATCTCCTTCTAAATGCGATATATGTATATTAAGTCTTATTCCTTCGTCTGTATTAAAAAATGTAATATGACGTAATGTATTACCATATAAGAAACTATTCAATGTCAATGCCATTTCCTTCGACGTATATAATGTCTTGCCTGCTTATGGCTGCAATACGTTCTCTGTTACGTTCTGATATGTAGTCATTTTTTCGTAGCTACCTTGACCCATAAAACAAGTCACATACAGATCAAGTCAGCATTAGACAGATCATTTCACCATTGTTTATTTTTTTATAATTGTCTATAATTTTTAATTAAAATATTAAGATTGAGTTAATTTTTAATTAACCTAAATACATATTGAAAGTTTCTTATAAGATCAGTTTTCTCCATTTTTTAAATTTTATGCTCCTTTAGTTGATACATCACATTGGTATTTGAAAAGAAGCAAAGTCTCGTAAATGAAATAAGTTGGAAAACTAGGAAAATATTTGTAATAGTTTACCTTAAGAAAGTCACGCAGCCATATTACTTCCGGTTTAGGATCTCCGACCACTTCACAAAGAATGATAACCATATCTCCCTCGATTGCTTCAGTTGATAAAGGTTTGGTGACAAAAAGAGGTTCCTTTGAATACCTTGAAAAGTAGAACAATTTCATTTATAACTTTATGTTGGTAAGATAAGTTATAATGATTGAACGCCAAAATAAATCATAATGATTGAACTTACGGTATATCTGGACTCGTAATATTAGCTTCGTTAATGAACGATTGATCCTCGATCGCGGCCATGACAGCTACCCTGGTGGATGTCTCTGCTTGACCGACTACATTTGTTGCGGTACAACTATAAACTCCTGCGTCTCGCGTAGTAACATTAGCTATTGGGTCGTAAGCGAATACCATCGCGATGCCTACGCGAAAAATGCAATCATAAAATGAAAAAAAAGTATTTATTCTGAACCATGTTATCATAAATGTAAGTATCGTTAATTGTAATTATCGCTCACCAAACGACACCAACACACGGATAAGCTTCAAGTTGCGCCGACATTCGTAATTCCCCGCCTGATTGAATCGTATAAGCTACGTTGAGATCACGAAGAAATTCCGGTGCGATGTAGGCCCGAATTCCTTTGTCCACCACGAGAGTACATCGACAAGAAACTGAGCCGTTTAGATTCCTCGCTGTCACCATATAACATCCAGAATCCTCAAGAGCAGACTGAATTATTTCCAGAGTATGAAAATTTGAGTCATCATTCCAAAAGATGTGGCGGTCTAAAGAAAGGAACATTCAACGAAACATCAATATAGGAAATTTCATGTTAGACAATGAATTAATTACCATCTTGAGAGATTTCCGTTCCATCTTTATACCAAACAATTTCTGGAACGGGATGTCCGATAACTTGACAAGTAAGCCTTACCGGATAAGTTGTTTGCACTCGCCTGTCCCGTATTCTCATGGTGAATTGCGGCGGTCTATCTTCCGATTCGATGCTCAAACTTTTAATAGAATTATATTATATTACTACCAGTTTTGTTGTATTAAGATAATACCTTGTTTTACCTCGTTTTAAGTTTAGCATCAGCCTCAATAATTCTTGGATCGGTAACAACGAGAATTCTAGCGAACGATGACACTTTACCGATTCTATTGTTCGCCTCGCAAACGTATCTTCCAGAATCATCCTCTTTAACATTTGAAATTGCTAAAGAATATTTAGAACCATCATAACATATCGCAAATCTGGTATCATTGTACGGATTAATTTCTGTTGTTTCGCGATACCATCGTACTTCCATTTTGGAATCACCGCGAATCTAAGGAATATTGAAATTATCATATAAAATAAGATATGTACAATGTATATGTATGTAAGGGACATTAGTTAAAAATATAGTAAAATATTATACTTTTATAGGTACATAAAAGTATAATATTTTACTATATTTTTACAATATTTTATTATATTTTACTATATTTTACATAAACTTGCCTCACATTCCAATTTTACCGATGTTCCTTCGAGAGTTTTTAATTGACCCGGTAAAATTTTTGTGAATTCTGGAAGATCGGTACTTTCGATAACCAACACTGAATTCTTCATCGTAACTGGTTCGCCCCATCCGTAACGATTTCGCGGTGTTACGCGAAATTTGTATTCTCCACCTGATCGCAAATTGAATGCGTCGAATGCGTTGATTGGCGTAATTCCCAACTGACAAGATTAAATTACATTTGATTTATGAAAAAAACAAATTAAAAAATATATATTGCTAAATTAAAAATATTATTTTCTTTTTGTGTCTCACCTCTGCCCATCGTGCACCTCCGTCACCTCCTAACAGCCAAGCTTCGACTTTATAAGCGACCACCGGTGCAGGTCCTCTTCTTTCTGCTTTACCCCAACTCAATGAGAGCCAGCTTTTTCCACCATCAATAACAACTGGTTCACTACTGATCGGACCGGGCACGTCTGAAAATTATAAAATATATAAATATAGAATTATTTATATACTTAATTGATATTGTTAAACTTATAAAAACTTTTTTATAAAAATTTGTATATTATAGGAATAATTTTCATGTATTGGCTAACCTCGATGTCCATACAAATATTTCAAAAAGTCAGTGATTAAACAATTCTTGGTCCATGAACGTCTTAAGCGCGAAATAGTGATATCTTCATTTTCGACATTAATAGTCATTCCATGATCATGTGACATTATTTTTATTTTATTTTTATTGTATTTATTTTAGCGATATATACATATTTATTAATGCTTGTAAATCAAACGCGATATTAAAGAAAGAAATTTTAATATTATAAAGAAAATGAAAGAAACATATTTAACATATTATTATCATGCTATAAAAATATTAGAAGAGTAATAAATTTTAAAGAGTGATAAATTTTGCGGCAATTTAGTATTTATTAAAAGATATTGGTGAAACAAATAAATAATTTTTCACTTTGCGATATACTTTTTCTCAGCACAATATATCGTGATAAAATTAAAAATTTTGTAAAGTAGAGTGTATGAAGTGATACGCATTCGGACGATGACTGAATTTTGAATTTGTAGAATTCATGAAATGCTGATGGAAGATGAGTAAGAAGGTAAACTAAAATAACCCGTCTCAAAATGTTCCTCGAATGAAGGAAACTTGAATATTCTCTTGTCGTGTTTATTTTATGTTACAACTACAAGACTTGGAGAATGTGCTAATTCTGAATTCATTTAAGACTATCGGCTCACTTATTCTAAAAATTACAGATTTACGTATATTTAAGAAAATCTTTGATCAGCATATTAATTCGATGAATAGTCAAATGAAATATTGATATCAGTTTGCGTGATTGTTTAATTCAGGCGTCAACTGGCGTTTAGCCATTAAAATTTAAGCCAAGCATACGATGTTGCAGTTGGTGTAGATTGTCATTCTAATTTTAATATATTCTACAATATCGTGACATCTTAGTTGAAATTTATTACTATACCTATTTTATTCATGCAAGTAATATACACTACAAAATCTCACTATTTTTCTCGCATTTTCCTTTAGCTAATATTACACACACCCACCCAACCCCCCCCCCCTCACACACACAGACATAACATAAAAAACCACTTACTTCTTACGTAAGACATGTCATTGTTGTATTCTTCTGTGTCACGCTCAGTAACAGAATTCCAATCTGATAATGGAGTCAATGATCTAGCACGTTGCTTTATCTATTTGAATAAGGTATTAATTATATGTGTTCCTTTTTAGAGTTCAATTAAATTTATAAAGATTCTCACCTTGATCGAGAAGAAACTTCTGTCACAGCCATATCTATTTTTAATTAAAATGCAATAGGTACCTTCATCAGAAGGTACGACTCTTTTTAATGTTAATCTGACGTAATCATCAATACTTTCCTTATACGATCTCGGTCCATCCGTAATGTCTGTTAATCCCTTCATCCATATTACTAAAATAGTGAAAAAAAAGGTAGGCGAAGAATAAAAAAAGAAAAGAACTAAAGAAAAATATAAACTTTAATTCTAATTGATATTCGCGGATCTAGTGGACCTCTGGATATTGTCTTCAATTACGTTGTGAAAAATTGTTTATTTTTCGTAATCTGTTACATAATTTAAATTACATAATGTTATTTCTCGAATTTTGATCTTCAATGAAAAAAAAAAATCGTTCAGTTATTATGTTAAGCAAAGATACATTGATTTAAAGTACACTGGAGCCATGAATACCAATCAAGGAAATTCTGAAGCAAATTTCTGATAAATACGATTAATTTGAGAGAATATGAGAAATTAAGAGAGAGTTGTTTTATCGAAGTCTTACTTCGAGGCTTTGGAATACCGCTAACTCGGAAGGATATACTAATGTCTTCGCCAACGATTACATCGATCGATTTCTTGGAAGGTCTCGAGACAAATATCGCAGGTTTTCCCCCGTGCTCTCCAGCGCTCGATGATATTACATCCACTGTCGCGCTTGTATCCATTTGTCCATAAGCGTTAATTGCTCTACAAACGTATGTATCCTTTTCTGGCTCTGTCGCGTCAGGCGCAATTAAGGTATAAAGTCCACGTTCTACAAAAGTTCTTGCTTTTGGTATTGTAATTGGCTCCTTTCGATCGCCGCGTAACCACTTCACTTCCGGAGATGGTATACCTACAATAGATTAAGAAGAACTTCATAATTCGATATAATTATTCTTTTGATGTTTTATTTACCTTTGAGTTCTACTTCACGACCGATAGATCCGTCAGTAAGCATACTATAATCCTTTGGTAAGTTGGAGAATCGTGATCTTCGTACGAATTTCGATCTAATTTCGTCGCTTAACCGTGAATTGTTTATGGATCGCCAATCTAAAATTGTGTTATTATGTAATATTTAAAGGCATTGATAATAACTAATAACATATAATTTCAATCACCTTCAATATTAACAGTATGGGATATTTCTTCAGTATGTAACTCGTTTGTTGCGCGACACGTATATTGTCCATTATCAGTGACATCAGGATCTGTTATTTCCAATCGATAGACATCATCATCGAGATAGCTCTGTTTGTAACGTTCACCTTGAAGAATCATTCCGTCTTTTAGCCAGGAAATCATAGGAACCGGATGTGCTCGTACACAACATTCCAGGATCAGTTTACGATCAGAATATCGATAAGTATCTATAAGAAAAAATGCTTTAAAAAACTGGTATAAATTAATACATGTAATAAAACGTGTATACTTGTGCATATATACCTTTAATTGATTTTACAAAAGTTGGAGGTGAATGTATAGGTTTGTGATCGGAGTAAACTTTCAAAATAGATTCGGTAGTCGAAGTGCCATTTATATTTTCAGCTACGCATGTGTATATTCCAGCATCTTCAGGAAGCGCATCTTGTAATTCTAAATAAGCCATACCATTTTCGAATCGCATTTTATAACGATTGTCAAATGCATTTAGCTTTTGATCATCTTTAGTCCAATAGATGCATGGTTCTGGATTACCAAGAACGGTGCAAGTCAGCCTTATCCTCATACCAACTTCTACGATTCTGTTCGTCAATCTTGTACAAAACGATGGTTTCTTTGGTTTAGCCCACTGAAGAATCTGTAATGTTAAATTTTAAGTTTTAAATTTTAAGATTTTTCTTTATTTCAATTGTTAAAAGCGGTAATTTAATATTAAATAACTACCTCATTTTCACGAAGATCAGTGAAGCTAGATGGTTCAGACATACAAGTATTGAAATTGATACGTGAGATAGCATTCGCTTTTGTACGTCGGAGAGATTGCATGCGCGTACTAGGTACAATAGTGGCATCGCTATCCTCAGTTGAATAATCTTCGTATTTCAGCAGATTGATCGATCTCACGCGAATCATGCGATTTTCTCTTTTTCTGCGCCTTCTATACAAAGATCTCGTATCGAAATAATATTTATCCATGGAAGGACTATGTAATTTATAATCCCAATAATTGTCGAATCTTTTCCCCAGTGATGTTAAAGAATCTCTCCAACTGTATGATTTGGAAGCGCTCGAAAGCGTTGGCATATCAGAATTAAACCGAAAAATATGTTGTCGAGAATAATCAACATTGAAAAACATTGACGTCGATTTGTCTGGCTTGTATGTGTCTTCCAACATATTCCTAAGAAAACGATCAGATTCATTTTCGCGTTTTCTAGACCATTCATTTTCTCTTATTTGCTCTTTTTTTCTCTGTCTATTTCTAAATCTCTCTTCTTCTTGTCTTTTTCGTAATCTTTGTTCTTCTTCCCAAAATAATCTAGCAGTCTCATCTCTCCTAATTTCTTTTTCCATTCGGTGTAACCTTTTATTAATATCTCTCTCCTGATAATCATTTTCTTCTTTCTGTACTCTACGTTCACCACTTTTATTAACGCGTTCTTCTCTCATATGTAACCAATTTTCATTGCTTTGCGGTTTTCTCTGTTCCCATTCCTCTTCCTTTTTCAATCTTTCCTCTTTAATATCCAATATGCTCTTTTCTTGTTGTTTTCGAAGTATTTTCTCATTGTTTTGTTCTTTTTTATTTTCCATTTGTAAACACAAATTTTTATCTTTTCTTAATTCTTGGATGTCATCGTTTTTTACTTTTTCTTTCTGATTTTGTTTTATTTGTATTATTTGATTGTGTCCTTGATCTTCAATTATTTCTTTATATTTTCTTTCAAATTTGTTTATATCATTTTCTTTCTTTATATCATTTGTATATTTATGTTGTGTTTGCTGTATTATTTCTTCTGTCTCAACAATTTCATCTTCCTTTTTTTCTATTGATTTCTCTATTATCCTTTTTATTTCTTTACTTTCTATTTTATCTGTTTCCTGCGTGGCTAGATTCCTATCCTTTTCTACATTTTTCTTAGTATTTACTTGTTCATCTTGTGCTATTTTCATTTCTTCAAGCTTGGTTGTCTCTTTTTGTTTTTCATCCTCTTTCTTCGATATTTTTATTTCATCCTTTTTCCCTTCTGCTTCTTGTTTTATTATCTCTCCTTTTTTACTAGCATCATCTTTTTTCTCTTTTAGTTTTTCAGCCTTTTCACTTTTTATTTCTTTACTGTCTTCTTCCTTTACTTTTACTATCATCTCCTCGTTCAACTCTTTTTCTTCTTTTTTTATTTCTTCCACTTGTTCCTTTTGTTTTGATTTTTTAATCTTTTTTTCTTTCTTTCCTAACTCTTCAATCTGTAGATCTTCTTTTTTTTCGGTTTTTTCTTCTATCATTATTTCTGTTATCTCTTTTTTCTTCTGTTCTTGCTCTTTTAATTTTTCTTTTTTCTTTTCGAACTCTTCAATCTTTTGATTTTTTGTTTTATCGTTTTCTTCTTCTTTTGTCTTTTCCACTATCTCTTCTTTCTTCTGTTCTTCTTGTTTTGCTACTTCTTTTATTTTTTCCGTTATATTTTGATGTTCTGATTGTTCATGTTTTTCTACTTTTATTTTCTCTTCTGTAGATTCTTTTTTTGCGCTGATTTTTTCTTTTTCTTTTTTTATTTCTTCAACTTTTTCGTTTTTAATCTTTTCGTCTTCTTCCTCCTTTACTTTTTCTTTTGTTTCCTGTTGTTTATGTTTAATTTTTTTCTTTTCTTTTTCTTCCTTTTGTTCTTTTTCTTTTTTTACATTAACGTTTTCTTCTTTTTTTTGAACATCGTCATTTTGATTTTGTGCAGTACCTTTTACATCTGTAAGATCTTCCTGCTCCTTTTTTAATTCTTCTTCTTTGAGAATTTTTTGCTCTATATTTTTCTTTATTTCTTTGATTTCTGTTTCGTTGTCACACTCGTTCTTTTCTTTTTGTTTTATTTCAACTTCTTCAATTTTTACAGATTCCTGTTTCTTTTGTTGCGCTTTATCAATTTCTTTTCCTTTTTCTTGATTTTTTTCTTCTTCTCCTTTAACTTTATCTTTTTCCGCATGTTCGATCGGTTTTAATTTTTCAATATTTTTTGTATTTTTCTGTTGTTCCCTTTTTTCAATTTTGCTTGCATCTTCCTTTTCTTTCGATTCTTGCTCTATTTTCCTTTCTATATTTTCAGATTCTTTTGTTATTTTATTTTCCGCTTTTTCTTTAATGCTGTGATCTGCTTCAGTTTTCGTATATTCATCTACTTTTTTCGTCTCTTGTATAGTTTCTTGCTTCTTTCGTTCGTTTTCTACTTCCTCTTTTTCTATCTTTTCTTTGTTTCTTTGTTCACTTTTTCTTTCTCTCATTTCTTCAGCATTTATAAATTTTTCACATTCCTCAATTTCGTTTTTCACATTTTTGACTGTACTCATTTCTTCTTGCTGATTTTTAATTTCTTTCATTTTTTCAGTTCCTTTATGCCTTTTAAAGTCGTCAGTTTCTTCTACTTTTTCACATTCTTGCTTTAACTTTTTATCTTTTATACTCTTTTCACTTTGCTCTGTTTCCTCGTTTAATTCAATTTTCTTGCTTTCCTGTCCTTCATTTATTTTTTGTATTTTTTGAATTAAGTTCTCTTCCTCTTGTTTCTCATTTTTATTTTCTATTTGATTAACTTTTTCTTCATGTGTTAACTTCGTTAATTTTTCATCATCTATTTCTTTCTTCTGTTCTATTTTTTCTGGTTTCTTCGTATCTTCTTTATCTTTCGTATCATTGGTTACTACAGAGTCTATATCTTTTATCAACTTAATTTCTTCTATTTCTTCTTTCATTGTTTCTTTTTTAATTTTATTGTCTTTTTCGACAGCTGTTTCAATTTCAGATGTTTTATTTTTTTCCTTTATAGATTTCTTTTGAAGAGCTATTTTGTATTTATCTATTAATGAAATCGTTTCTTGCAAAGACTGATCAGATATAATATTTATCGCAGTTAGCAGTTTACAAATTGGTTTCTCAAGAATCATTAATCCATCTAGTATTGTTTCTTCACACCATAACGTTTTTGTTGCTTCTATTGATTCTTGTAATTCGAGTAGACATGGTATCAAACTTTTCGAAAGACCACCAAAGTTTGTATGTTGCGATTCCACCAACGGTTTATCAGCTGACTGTTCTCGCATTACAGCTATAGATTTTTCTAATCTCTGAAGAGCATTAATCATTGAATTAGAAGCATTTGGTTTTTCTTGTATCTGTATAATACATTGTTTAATATTCTCTAAAGATTTTGTCAACATTCCAAGTGCTTCGTATTCAATATAAATTTCAACGATTGACACCTGTTGTTGTTTTAATTTATTTTCGATGGATTCAATTGAGTTGTTAATATCTGAAATATTATTTATTATTTTCATTGATAATTCTAAAAGCTTTTTATTTTGTTGCATAGATACAATTGTTTCGAGCACGTTTAACATTAGTTCTAATGGTCTTTCTAAATAATTTAAACATACGCTTGACAATGTTTTTATAGTCTCAATAGAGCATTTTAATTCGGTTAATGGTGTAATCAGAGTGGCGGATATCGTAGTATCAATTTCTATTGTATCTGATTGTTTGGACACTGCTTTATCAACAATTTCTTCCTTAAGAAATAAAATGCATTTCTCAAAATTGGAAAGAGACTCGATAAAAGCATCAATACTATCTCTGTCTTCAACAGTACCTAAATTAAATTTATTTTTTAGTATCACTAAGTTCTCTTGTACATTAATAAGTGGTATTTCCATCGTCTTGAGAGTTTCAATTTTGATAGAATCACCTTCTATACGTGATATTGCGAATTTAATACTTTTCATTAATTTTATTAATTTTTCAATAATTGACCAGTCTGGTATTAAAGTTCTTGTTTGCTCTTTCAGAATTATAGTTTCAGGTTCTATTATGCTGCATTGTCGAATATCAGCAATTGATCTTTCTATTTCATGCAGAGGAGTTGCTAAACATTCCGTAATCCAGTTGTTTGCATCTTCTGACATCAATTCAATATCCGGCGATATCACTCGTGTTTCTAAAACAGATATAGCACGTTGAAGATCAAATAGAGGTTCAACTAGTGCATTTAATATGACATCATTCTTCGGTTGATTCGTTGATGTTTCAACTAGTATATTATCCTCTATTACAGCAATAGAATGACGCAATTCTTCAAGTGGTTCTATTAAAGGACGAAGAATAAATTCATTTTTATCATCGATGGCAAATGAATGTTCATTAGCACGTTCAATAGTCATTTGTTCTTCAATAATTATTGCAGCTGCATGTTTTAATTCCGATAGAGGTTGTATTATTGTTTCCATCAATGAAATATTTTCTTTTTCCGACAAAGAACACGTTGTATCATATGGCTGGACTGTTTTCTGTTCTTCAACAATCAACGCTAGGCATTCTCGTAATTCAATTAATGGTTTTGCTAATGTTTTCAACGTAGAGGTTTCATCTTCGGTCATCGATGTTACAATTTCAACTGGGGATTCGATCGTTCCTTGATCGATCACTATTGGACGCGTAATTCTTGAAGAAGATTCATCGATTACATCTGCCCATGTACTTAAAGACGAAACATCTTCAGAAATAGTGTCTGCCGCAGGTTCTATAATAATCTGCTGATAATTACACATTGCTATACGTTCCGTCAGATTATGAAGAGTTTCAGCAAAAGTGTTCAATGCCGAAATATTTTGTTGTTGTTCAAGTTCATTTAAAAAATCTGGTGCAACTGCGGTTACTTGCTGAATGGATGCGATAGAAGCTTTCAAATCCACTAAAGGCTGCGCGATTGATTTCAGTAAAGATTCAGTTTCTACTTTCGATGTAATTTGACTTCCTGCTTCTAATACCACGTGTTCTTGTACAATAGCAATAGACTTTTGTACTTCCTCAAGAATAGGTTGTAGAGCAAGTTTTTCTAGACTTACAAAAGATGATTCAGTTATTAGAGGGTGTGTATCGTGTTCAATAATATGCTCCTTTTGCACCGTTGCGACAAAAGATTTTTCAAGTTGTTGCAAGGGACTAACAAGACTGCTTAACACAGTAATTGGTTTCCTTATTTCTGTAACATTAAAAATCTCAGATTCTTGCATTTTAGTTTCTTCAATAGTTAGAATCTGTTCCTGTAATAACCGCAAAGGTGCAATAATATTTTCAATAAGATGTGTATCTATTTTATTGGTCTGTTTTAATTCTATATTCGTTGTAAAAGCTTTGATAATTCTCGGCCGTTTAATAATAACGGAACAACATTTTTTGAATTCTTCAATAGATTTCTCGAATGCTTGCAACGCGGATGCATTCTCGATTTCTACAATCTGTTGACCAGCGTTTTCTATTGCACTCAATTGTTGCAGAACTACCATCGACGTTCTTAAATTGCTAAGTGATCCAACAAAGTTTTTCAATGTTACTAAATCATCTGTATTCATATCCACAAGTACATCTTGAATTGTTGTCAATTGATCTAGAATTATTGTCACGGATTTATTCAAGTTATCCAATATCGGTTTGATTGACAATTGTTGCAAAGCAAGAACAGTTTCTTCATAAGATGCAGTTAAGAATGATTGCTGTAATTCTTGCAATGGTTGTACCATACATTCTAAAGTAACAGCTTTCGTTGATTCTTTTGTTTCCAATGTTTGGGATACTTGATCTTCGAGTTTTAGTATTGCACTTTGCAGCTCTGCAATTGGAATAGTCATCATTTTCAGTAGAGAAGTTTCAGTAATTGCTTGCTTTTCAATATCTTGTTTAGTTATAGCCATCAGTTGACTCGCTATTTCTTCTATTGAGTTTGCAAACGATAATATAATTGATACTTTCTCAGTTTCAGTACTTTTTTCAGTATGATCAACAATTTCTTCGACTGTTGTTAACGGTAATTTCAGATTTTCTAAAGCTTCAGTCAATGTTTTTAACATAGGAACATCATTCAAGATTGGTTGCTCCTGAACTAAAATAATCGAGTTTCTCAGTTCTTCTAGCACAAGTTTTAAATTTGCACTTGCCAATAAATTTTGACTTTCATCAAGTTCTTCCTCCTTCATGACTGCAGTTTCCTGCGTATCTATAATTAATAATTGTTTCAATTTTTCTAAAGAATCTACCACTGTACGTAACTGAGCGATCTCTTTTTTCTGTTCTGGCACTTCTAATAATCCAGCTTTATAAATATTATGGTTTTCAATTTGAGAAAGTGTTTCTTGTAAAATATGAATTGAATCAATAGTCTTATGTAAAACTTTTGGATCCAACTCTTTTTGTTTAATAATTTTTAACGGTGGCACAGATTCCATTTTCATTTGACTAATAATAGATATAAATCTTTCTCCATATTGAACTACCGATTTAACAAGATTTTGCAAAATCGTGATCTGTTCAATATTTGATAATTTTGCTTCTTCCTGGATAAATTGAATAATTGTTGAATCAGATTGAATGCAAGCAATCGACATTCTCAAGTCTTTTAATGGTTCCATGATAGCTTGTACTAAAAATGACTTAGACGTTTCACTCGAATTGGTTTCAGCTACAGCATTAAGTTCCATTTGTTCTTGAACTGTAGCAATTGATATTTGTAATTCTTCCAAAACTTTTACAGATAATTTCAGTAATGTCACTGTATTTTTTTTAATACCTTCGGTAACTTTAGATGACAATGCAAGTTGTAAATTTAGTAACTGTTCCGTTAAATCCGAAAACTTAATTGTTTTCTTATTGGAAGATTCTAAAATTCCAATTTCTCCAATTTCATTAAATGATTTACACAATGTTTGAAGAGAAGAGATAATCGCTTTTAAAGTTTCATCTTTTATTTGTTCTTCCTGAATTATACTGTTATCAGATACTTGAGTTAATTCTAACTTTTGTTGATCAATCGTTGCAAAGTTGTGTTCTTCAATTTTTTCTAAAGGTCCTGCTATTGATTTTATCATCTTTATATTTTCAGGAAGTAATTCTTCGATTTGACTGGACTCTAAAGATGTTAATGCTTGCTGCGGCGTCTCTACCTTGTTTGCTACTAGGTCTGCACCTTGTTTTATTGAATCATCTATTTCTTCAGTAAGTATTTTATTTGCTTTTGCTTCGACGAGTTTTAAATTATCAATGGCTTTTAACTCGATCATGTCCGTAGAAGGCAAATCAGACTCTAAAAGTAAAGTCTTATCACATTTTACCTGTTCCTGAGATTCCATTATAGCTTCTATGAGTTCTTCAAGGGGTTGCGCAGTTGTTTCTTCAATAGCTTTTGCTTCTTCCTTTATTTTCGATATTTCCATTTCTCTTTCGTCAGCAATATTAACACATTTTGATATTTGTATTTCATTTAGAGATTTAATGGTATCATTAATACATGATATTAAGGTTTTCGGAATTGCAGATAGTTCTTCATCTTTATCAATATATTTGTCTTTATCGATTGTTTGATATATAGATGCTAATACATTTTCAAGAGCATCTAAAGATTTAGAGATAAGTGGTAAAGACGCCATAATGCTCTCCTTTAATTCTGGTTTTACTCCTTTATGAGTCAAGAAAATGACCGTGTTGACAGCTTGTTCGAAATCAATAAGAATATTTTCCATATGAGAGAATTTATTATCTAATAATATACTGATAGATGAGGAAGGTATTACTGTCTTAATAGAAATATTTGTAGCTTGTAGATCGTTAAGAATTTGTATTAAGGCTGTTAATTCTTGTATTTTCCGCTTATTTTCTTCAGATTTTGAAATCAGAGATTCTTGTTTAGCAGATTTCACAAAATCAATCAATTCTTTTAACGGCTGTATTAAATTACTTATTGTAGAATTAAATTTTATTATATCATTTGTCAATTTTCGGTTTTCATTTTCTTTCTGATCTTCTTTGCTTTTTCTTATATCCGCTAGATCATTTTTTGATTGTTCAACGGAGATTACTGCTTCTAGATTTTCTAAAATTGGTATTTGTGCTATCGTAGATGTATTTTCAATTTCAGATTGAACATTAACTTCTTGAATTATTGCTTTAAATGACGGTATTTCCGTAATCGTCATTACACTCTCAATTTCTTCTTGTGATACCTCAATAACTTCATCAACGACACTTTCTACTTTCGTAATAATCACGCTTACTTTTTGTTCAACTATTTTTTCTATGACATCAATAGAATCTTTCACGTGATCTAAAACATCTATAACGGCAGAAAAAGTCTCTATGATCGGTGCTCCTTCAGAAGCACCTTCTTGAACAAGTCCTATTCTGTGAGTCGATAGGGAAGAACTTAATTCTAAAATAGAGTCGGCTAGTTCTTGAAGCTGAACTATTAAATTATACGAAATTGCTGAAGGTATTTTCTCCACATTTTCTTTCAGAACGTTTAATGCCGACAGAAGTTGATTAGTCGGATAAAGAAAGCCTTCTACAATAGCTTCTTCATCAATTAATTTACTACCAACTTGATTGAATTGCGTTTGTGCAAAAAAGATTTGTTTTTGTAATGCTTCCAAACATTTGGATACTATTCCATATGTACTTTTATCGGCGTGTTCTTCTAAAGTTATTATAGCGTTATCTAAGCGATTTAATGTGCCGGTAAGTCGATGCTGAAGAGAAATATTGCTACTACTAGATCGGCGCGAATAATCTGTCTTTCCAACTTGTTTTTGTACTTGTAGAATAGCAGAATTGAGCAATGTCAAGGATTCATTAAATAAGAAAGGTTCTTCCATATTTGCAGTTATTTCAACAGTGTGACAAACTTGTTTTCTCAAACCATCGACCGCTCGCAGAATAACGCTTCTCCTCTCGTCTAATAAAGAAGCTTCAGGAACTAAACTTCTTCGACTGCTCTGTACCATTGAAAGACAACTATGAAATTCTAATAGGGGTTCAAGAAGATTTCGTAATTCAAGAATTAATGGTTCTCGCCGTTCTAATACGTCTACTTTTTGAATAGTAGTCTTAATATCTTCTAAAAGAGCAGCGATAGGTTTTCCTAAAATATTTGCTACGTCAGTTTCGAGAGTTTCTTCCGCAGCTTTTTCTAGATCGCTCATACGTTCTAAAATATTTTCCAATGGTTTTGAGATGTCCCAGAGATATTCCAAAATTTTTCGTCTTAACGATATTTTTTGAATTACAATTGGAATTTCCATTTTTATTTCTTCTACCACGCATAGAAGGAACTCAAATTTCTTTTCTATATCTCCATCTTTACTGATAAAATTTTTTATCTGTCTTATCACGTTGTTTTCTATTATATTCAACAACGGAGTAAACCGATTTAGTATCGTGAGTTCTGAAACATCGTGTTCGTGCGGTTTAGAAAGAAGATTTCGTATATTTGTCAATGGCTGTATTAAGTTAGTCAGCATCAAAGTTGTCTGATTAAGTTTTTCTTCGAATAAATCAGTTTTTTCACCATAAACAATCATTACGCGTACTGTGGAAATAGTCCTTCTTAACTCTTCGATGGAATTAGCTAATTTTGATTGGGAAATTGTAGTAGATTGTGTTGTTGATTCTTCGAAATCATCTAATATATTAGTTATTTCCAATTGTAGTTTTTCTAAAGTTTCTGACAAGATCATAATTAATTTGCTTGCATCCTCTTCACTTTCCTGTTTTTCGTTTTTTATGATTTGTAAGACGACATCACTAGAATTGTTTTTTGTTATAGCTTGCTCAGTAAGTAATGAAGTAGATTCGGCTTCAAATGGCGTTGAAGCAACTTCTGTAAGAGTACCTGGAATTGTTTCTCGAGAAGCTGTAATAGTTTCTTCTTCTATTTCTTCCGTTTCGTTAAATGCTTTAGTATTTTGTTTAAATTCTTGCTGATGAAGAATATCTTTGACTGAAAGCGATATTTGATTTTTAATTTGTTCGATGATATCTATTATCGACCGTAGAGATTCTTCTTCCGCATGTTCGTGAAGAACATCCATGATAGTTTGTAAAAGATATTTCATAGGATAATCCAATTTTTTTAAAATTGAAAGATCTTCTGGTTCATGATATGTAGAAATTGCATTTTTAAGCCTCAGTAACGGTTCTCGAAGATCAATCAATGCATCTATCAAACTGTCATCACTTGGTGATTCAGAATATGACGTTTGAATAGCAATTTGACTCACATTTCTTTTCAATTCTTGGATTGTTGAGCTCAATGCAGATTTCATTTCATCTTCATATTCCTTTGTATCATCTTCAGATGTAACGGATAACCAATTTTTAATAGGATCTAAAGAACGATCTATTTGACTAGCCAAATTGGATTTCGAATAACTTCTTTCTTCTTTATTTTCTTTTTGAGATTGTGTAGTACTTTCTTCTTGACACTTTTCCTTTGATATTTCTTTCGCTATAAGAACTGTATCCTTTTCTATATCTTCCAACAATTCCAACATAGGTACTATTAATTCGATCGAAGAACTGTTCTCAATTACATTGTGAACTATCTCTTTCAATATACTGATGGGATTTATCAAATCATTAAGAACTTGTTCTTCTTGTGGTTCGTGCTTTTCCGTTAATAAATCTGTCTGTAGATTTAACAACGATTCACTTAGTTTGCTAATTTCTTGAATTATTTCATTATCAACTGGATTTTTTAAGTTAGCGATTGTAACAGCCGAAGAACCAATTGTCTGACGTAATGCCTCAATATTTGTAATTAAATGACACGAAGTTATATACTTTTCTTGCTTTTCTAAAACGGATGATAGAGCAAAGTGCACATTGCTTAAACTTTGATCAATATTTAGATTCTTTAACATATTTTGAATGATTTCTGTCTCCGATAATTGTTTCACTAATTCTGATATTTGTTTGTCGGTATCTTCCAATATTTTGAGAATTGATTCTGTTTGAGAAATTACCTCGTGGTTTTCAAATTTTTTCAGTATGGTGATAACAACACTTTTTAATTTTACAATGGCAAAATTTATTTCTTGTATCATCGAAAGTTCGCTAGAAGTACATTCCTGTGATAAAATTAATTGAAGATCCAATAAGGGCTCTCTAAATTCCATTAAACTGTTTAATGTTTCATTCTCTTTCAACATCATTGCAGAGTGTGCTGTGTGAGATACGCAATCTCTCAATTCCGTTAAACATGCAACAAGACTCGATGCTGTCACAACTTGTTGTGGACTGCTAGATCCATTCATCGTAAGTTTCGAAGGTTCAATACAATCTAAAATTCTATTAAATGTTGATTGAATATTGATTAATGACTCTGTAATTTCTTCAGATATATTTTGAGACACATCGGAGATTGATTTTAGCGATGATAATTCTTTTGTTCTAGGAATGTTACAAATGGGATCGCGAAATTTTTTTAAAATTGTAAGCGTCGGTTGTAAAGATAATAATCCGAAATTTTCAATAACATGTGACAATTGAGTGATAAATGGTTCGAGAATTTCGCAAATGATTTCTATATGTTCTGTTGGTGTAATTTCATTAATTTCTTGTAATAATGCACGCAGAGGTATTTCCAGATTAGTCAAGGTTTCAATGTCCGCACTTACTCTTCTTGAATCTTCTAATAATTGACATATGTCGTCAATCTGCTTATGAATATTTAAAAATTGTGATGTATCAAATAGTTTTTCACATAAAAGCTTCAAAGAGTTGCGTAGAGCTATTCTTGACTCAAAAAGAGTATCTTGTGTCGATTCTTGATTCTCTTCTGAGACATGGCTGCTGATTTCCTTTACATTTTTAAAATTATCTAACAATTTTTCTTTAGTAAATAATTCTTTTATTGCTTCGGTACCGTTTCTGTTATCTATTTCTATTTTTTCAATTGGTTCCGTAAATTGATGTTTTATCTTCATATCAACTTTATCTTCCGATTCACTTCTCTCACGCTCGTAATCACCGGAGCCGGAATATTTTTCAGAATTATTTTTGTCCTTCTGTTGCTTCTTTTTTCGTTGCTTTTTTTTAGGAACACCGATCATTGAATCAAAAGAGGAATCACCACCGATACCATCGTCTAGACTGGAACCAGTTGATCTTCCTGCGCTCAAGCTGCGTTTTCTGTTATCTATTATTCCATGTTCCAATGTCATCTGTTTCAGGACAAGACTCTCTGTGATGGAGAGATGTGCAGAGGATAAGGCGTCCGCAAAAGTGTCGCTGTCATCCTGCTTCAAAGATGAAAGCGGAGACAACGGCGGCTCGTCTTTCTGTGCGCTATGAAAGCTTTCAGATTCTATGCGTTGGCTTTTTTCGCTTTTCGATAATGATAAACTCATTGATTTTTTCCTAGGTGGTCTATTAGGAACTTTTTCGTCTTCATCCGCATTATATCGAGCTGATCTTTTCAAGGAACTTCGGGAATCGCGCTCAGGTGATGAAAGGGCACGCGTCATATCATCCATAATGGAGACATCTTCGAAATCAGCTTCTGTTCGTAAATCATCATTGTCTTCCGCGCTAACAAAATAATCAGGAGATACATCGATTACTACAGCTTCCATTAACAAATTACTGGTCGTAGATGTTTCTTTGACAAATCTCATTGGTGGTAACTCAATCACATTGTGTTCTATACAAAAAAATGTAGCTTTTTAGCGTATAATACTATTATATTTTGAATCAACAAAAATTAAATCAATCTTTTTACCTGTAACATGCTCAGATAGCTGATCGGCGTACATTTCAACAATCTGTAGTGCCTCTTCCTCAGTAAGATCAGGTGTTTCGTACAGACTGACTGATACTTCTTTGCCATCAAAGCTAAAAGATACCTCGCCCCGCTCATCCAAAGTAACGGAATGATCCGTTTGCGGTGTGTCATACAATTGAGACGTTCGCTCTTCATGTATCGTTGACAACGACAAGTTTCTCGCTAATTCATGATCATTTGATGACTGGATTTCTTTTGTATCTTTTTTATCTGTAAAGTTAAATAAAGTTACATATAAAGCTCGCTTAGAATATCAACGTAAAAGTAAAAACAGAATTGTTAAAAAAAATTTTTTATACTTTTCATATAGACGGAGCATTATCATATAAGTGATAGTAATTAAAAATTATTATGTGCAACAGGTAAATACTACCTTCGAATCCTAGTAAAGATGCGGAACTACTGACTGTTCCCATGCAATTGATAGCTTCACAAGTATATATTCCTAAGCAGCAAGTACCATCTTGTCCGGAAATAATTCGGTGTATATCACCGGGTTTGAGTTCAACATTGTCTTTGTACCATTTTAAAACTGGCTGTGGAACGCCGATAACTTTGCACTCTAAATTTACAGCGCCTTCTTCTGATAAGATCGCGCGTAGATTCTCGAGAAATTTTGGTTTTTTGTAATGCTTAGGAATAATTAGTTTCAAAAAACAAGAAGTGACACTATGACCGAAATCATTTGCCGCTACGCACTTCCACTCAGCCTAAAGAAATGCGAAAAAAAAACATTTTTAATTGTCTTTATATCACAGCAAATATGATTATATTATATATGTCATGCATACTCACTTGATCAATAAATTCGAGATTTCGCACTTCAAAATGGCATTTGCCAAGATTCTCTTTTGCTATCTGATATTTGTCAGATTCGTCCATTATTGCATCATCTCTGTACCAAGAAAGAATTGGTTCCGGTGCTATGCTTACTAAAGAAAAAAGTATCTTTATCAGTGTGATGTAAAACTGCGTGAGATAGGATAACAATTATTCAACAACTTATTAATTAAAAAAAGAAACAGGAAATATGAATACCTTGTACTGTAAAGCGAAAATTTTCATTTATTTTTGCTTCACAACTTCTGAGGCCTTTTATAAACTTTGGTGGTTGATTAGTGCTCAAAAGTTGGAAACGTTCTTCTTCGTTTAATTGATTCTGTATATCTTCGATAGTTAATTCTGCGATACTCTTAGCTTCGCCCATGCAATTTTTCGCGATACAGCAATAAGAACCTAAATATTTTTAAATAAATCTATAACTTAAATAGAGACTAGGAAAAAAACAATATATAATAAATTTAACGTAATTACCTAATGAATTAGTCCCGGTTAATTGATAAACGTCTCCTGGTTTAAGTTCTTGACCGTCTTTAAACCATCTCAGCAATGGCGTTGGGAAACCTACAACTTTGCATTCGAATGAGACAAGACCTTCTTCCGTCAAGATTGCTTTCAGATTCTCCATAAAGCGGGGTTTCCTGTAGTTTCTTGGTACTTTATAGAAAATAAGATAAATGTTGATCGGATAATTATATTTTTTGTTATAAATTAGTTTGCCTATTATCATAATACGTACTAGACATTGCTACATAGCAACTCGTAAATTGCTTTATATTGTCTTCGCTGGTAACGACGCATTTCCATTCACCCTCGTCCATGGCTTCTACTTGTTTTATTTCAATTGAATATCCTCCTATGCCATCCTCCATTATATGATACTTTTCGCTAGGCTCAATGCGGCCTTCTTTATTGTACCAGGCGATCGCTTTCGGCCAGGGTGGTACTTGAACTATCATTGATGATAATGTTTCATTTATTGGTATGAGATAAATATTAATAAAAACAGAAAGAATTATTATTAATTAATTTACCACGACAAGATAATACTATAGTGTCTCCAATCCGGAAGAGGTCCGGATGGTGCCAAAGCATCTGCCGGTTTCAATGAACCTTCTCGGCTTCCTCTTCCAACTACGTGAACCTGAGATAAAATAACGTGTCTACATTTAATGAAATTGATGATAAAAAATATAAGAGAATCGACAATTGTTACAATTGTTACTGCGTAATCGTAATAGTGAACGCATTTACTTTTGAGGAAGAATAGGCCGTTCCCATGCAATTGACCGCCTCACATGTATAAACACCGAGAGATGTTGGATCATCGGGATTAGCAGTCAAAGCAAAAACATCACCGGCTTTGATTTCCTTATTGTCTTTAAACCATCTCAATACTGGCGTAGGCACACCGATTACTTTACATTCCAACGACACGGTACCTGTCTCAGTGAGCAGCGCGCGGAGTTCTTCAACAAATTCTGGCTTTTTGTAAGCCTTGGGAACTAAAAATTTATTAGATTTATCAAAATTAGTTATTAATTATCTAAAGCGAGTACAGTTAAAAATGTCGTTTAAATAGAACGAGTGATCGATTACCAATGACGGTGAGAGTAGATGTACATGAGGATCTTCCACTACGATTCTCTGCCATGCAAGTCCAGCATCCTTGATCGTCAACTGTGACTGGGGCGACATCAACACAATGAAAATTTCCTTCATGAACGAGAGAGAATCTAGGTCCATTGTGAATAGGCGAAGCATCTTTATACCAAATTATCTGAAATTAGTGAATCTAATTTAAATGTAATATAAAAAAAAATCTTATTATTTTATTGTAATATCTCATATACGAATATATAAATACGTTTTGTAACACACAGTACGCTATAATATATTAGGCTATTTTGCACGTATAGCGGAAGAGGCATGCGAAGAAATGTTGGAGTATATATCCCCTGGCATAGTATGCGGGCATGCGTAATAATAGTATTAATACGACGCACAAGAACGCGTAACCAGCTTCCTCTACTCTTCGTTTTTCGTCGCGAGTTCAGGTCATGGACCTCTCGGTCCATCTTAATTCGCTTTTCCCGTTTCATCTGATACTAGGATAGAAGGAAGAGACATGTCTGACAATAAGTCACTGCTAGCATCATCAGGGTTCCAACTTTCCGGGTTGATCGTAATACTTAACTATGTATCATCCATTTATATGTTAAGCAGGGACGTATCTTACGTGATGTTATGGACATGAGTAAGTTGCCAAATAGAATTTTCTTTTCTTGTTAATGTACAAACTATTTAATTAAATTAATATTCTAATAAAACGTCTTCAAACAAATAAATTGTCTTCTGTTAGTATAAAGTAAAATTATCTCTATGTAGTAAATTATACCTTCAAAGTAGTTGAACTTCGAATTTCTACAAGAAATCTAGTTCGAGTGCCGACTTTTACCGCGAGATCGCTCAATCTTCTCAAGAAGACAGGAGGATCGTCCTCTTCGTAACTTGGTTCACTGATGCTCAAATCAAATTTCTTTAAAGCTCCTTTATCGTTTTCTTGTCCGAGTCTCGTTGCTACGAGAGAATAATAACCAGTGTCATTTTTACGCGATTGCTTCAAGGTCAATTGAACGATATTGCCTCGCATTGATAATTGATAACGATCTGATGAAATTGGTAATCCATCTCGTATTCTGCAAATTTGATAAATTAAATAATATTAATTTATCACGAGAGTAACAAATTAAATTAGAGTAAATTTAAATGAAAAAAAAATTGCTATAATCTTCATTTGTCCAAAATATCTGTCTATTATTTTGCTGTGTTCTCCATATACGTGTTTTACATCTACACTACATAAAAATATATTGGCCCGACATATTTCGGTCAACAGGATGATCTAGAGTCTTGGCATTGCTCTACTGCCCTATTTTTGTCACCTTTTTCACAATGTGAAGAGCTTGTTTAAAATCAAGAAGAAAGTTGTCTACATCTAACAAAGCAATCTTTCACTTGTTTCATTTATAAATAAATTATCATGTTGTGTAAAAAATAGTAGAAATGTAGAATGATCCTAAAAATATCATATACCAATGTATTAGACATTGCAACTTGATGCAATTGCATGCATCTGACGTGAGAGCTCACGCGATATGACGCGACATTGCCCTTCAGTATAATTTAATTTCTATTATTCACTTTATATATTAAATGTATATAATCTTATATACATAATATTTAAATATTTAATTAAATATTAAATAATATTAGGTTTGTTAAATAATTCAAGCGTCAACATGGTTGATATATACAAAACGTTTAAGAATATGAATGATATTATATAGCTCTGAGAAACTATATAATTGTTTTTAGAAATTAATACATTAAATTAAATCAACTTTTTTATTTTCCTACCGATATTCCGATCCATCGGAGGAGGATCCGGTAATAACGTTCTTTTTACCGTTAGTGCATTTACAGCAATCGCTTCCCATGATGACGAACCAAAATAAAAGAAGCAATTTCTTGTTTTATATCAGAATGCACCATTGATGAGATAACAGCCATAAATTGCCCACATTCTTTTACAGACACACAACATTTCAAGTTTGAGATTTAGCTTTAGAAATTCTTCAATATCACTTCTCTTTTTATTTTTCACATATCTAAAAATGTTTTCAGAACATCAACAATGATTTGCCACCTACTTCAATTTCTAGTATTGATCTGTCATGTATAATCTTTCTTCATGACACTGCAAGCACCGCGTGAGCGATAAAATTAGCAGAATACACATTGGTCGATCGAATTCTGACAGCGCGGTGGCGCTCTGCAAATTCGTTTTATTGAGTCATCGATATACGTCTCAAATTTATCAAGAATATCAACACATTCATTTAATTTTAATTGTATATTATCAAATAAAGTGACAACTTGTTTTTTAATGTGTAAATCTTAATTTTCCTTCAATTTTCCATGTCATTATATCTTTTAGTTTATTTCTTTTTATTTTTAAGTTTACAAGATCATAGATTTTTGAGTCTTTTAAAAGATTTTTATTCAAAGATAGAATCCACGACAGGGAAACGAATCCTCTTATCTATTTTTAACTCATGATTTAACTTAATTATTCGTATTTAAGATTGTTTGAAACAAATATACAAGGAAACGACAATTAACCGAGCTCTAAATTAGAGTTTCAACAATTTGGATTTAATTGAGTCCATGTAAACACCTTTTTAAACTTTTGATAAGTAAGAGACGCATACCGATGTACTCAAATCGAATGATTTAAAACTTTTTCTTAGGGATTTGTCGGTCGTCGCGACGCTCTTTCAGCGTTAGACTGATAGCGAAATGCCAACGTTAAACTGTCCTCTCCCAATTTTCCACCTCCATCAACGAGTTAGTTGATATAGTTTCGAGGAACTCTATGCAACAGACTATTTCATATAGAAGCTAGTAAGAGCCAACCGAGGAATAGCTGGACCGAGCGGGGGCATCGGGCATCTTTCATATTTCCATGAAAATTTTGGTCGCGGTCAAAATTAGCTTATGTATAGTAATATTTATTGCAGAAGGGACATATGTCGCAAAAATCAAAATTTTCTTAATTCATTCGTATTACCATTATGATATTGCGTTTGCATTACTACGAAAATATTCTAAGTCAAAGAATATATGGGATATACGGTTTCGCATTAAGAATTCGATAAACATCACGATTATATTATGAAATCATTGCATAAATGCACCGCAGATAATCTCAAGTTATGCGAAATATTTTACTTTTTTGAATCTTTTCATGGAATTTGTTACATAAAATAAGAAGTAGCAAATGTGTAGTAATGATTTGTGATCTACATCACACATACATGATCTGTATCTTTTTCTTAATGCTAATTTGATTTTCTTAAAACGCTGAATACATATATATGCATATATATCGGAAAATAGTTGATAATGACAATTATTATTATAACATTTAGTTTCTGATCTTATTCAAGATGTAAAAATAAAAATATATGATATGTTCTTAAAATATATTTCAGAATAGCTTAAATCGGAACATGATATCCTTTTATAAATTATGAAAAAATCTTTACAAGCATAAACTGTTACAATAGCATATTGTTTACTTTCTTTGATTCTTATTGATGTTTAAACATCAAAAGTACAGACATATATGTTGCTTACATTCCTAGCATTGGCAAAGTGATCTATGCAGGAATATTGAGTGAAGCTACATGAGGCAAGTGTAATTCGGTTCTCCGAAATTAAGTGCGCGACAGCTCAAAATAACTCGCGTTTGATCCTTGGCACGTCCCAAGGTTCTATGTAAAATTAAGGCCAATGTATGAGAGTGAATGATAATGTGAAAACGAAACATTATTTCCAAATTAAAAAGTTACACTACAATAGAAACGAGTACACATACAAAAAAGCTGTTAGCATTTTAGTCTAGTATAAACTTACAGTTCGAATCGTAAGTCATCGTAATTTTCGGATAAAGCCAATTTCAGTTCGATAATAATATCTTCACCTACATATCCTTGAACTGATACGATCTGATCTTCTTCGATCCATTCTGGTGGCCCTTTATTTTTCAACGTATCTGCATACATTTATATAGCACGGTAATTAATTACATTTTTGCATTTTTACAATATAAAAAAGTTTATTATTAATTTTAATATTGAAGACTTTTATTAAAGAACTATTCTTTATCAATATACGATGACGGGAGGAAATTTCCTATTGAAAAACTTCGAGACTCATGTGCTTTGCAAAATTATTACAGGAATGATAGTAGTACGCTTATGCAAAATAATTTTATACAATACACACCTCCAAGGAATGTCTCTACAGACGTCCAAAGGACAATCTACGTCCTAAGGATGTTCCCCGGACGTTCCTCGGATAAAATATGCTGTGTGAAATAGCATATAAATATAGACGACTATGTAAAAGCATGATAAAGCACAAAACAAAAAAATTTAAGACAATAAACCGAAAAACTATCAAATGTATCAAAGTCTCAAAAATCTTATATTTTTCTTCGAAAGATTGCTTCTTCTAATAAATTTTACAACCTGAAATATACTTCATATTTTGATTAAATGCGCTTATACATACTCAGATTGCAACATTATAAATAAAAATGTTCATCTAGCAGAAATTTTGGCAAACAACACTATTGATCTTTACATTAAATTATAATTTTGTGAAGACATTAATTATAAATTATTAAGCATATTTTGTAAAACCAAACATTTTTTATATTTTTACTCATTTAATATGTATAATGTATATGAGTTTTATATGAGTTTTATAGCTGTAAAATACCGCAATATATACAAGACTATACTTCATATATACAAGACTAAAATTGATGACTATCAAAGACAAAGTTTAGCGACGTCATTCAATAATTACAAGAATTAAAAGAATATATACAAGTAGAGATAGTAATAAATTTTGAATAATAAATATTTTTCATACTAGTTGTACAAGTTTTTGTTATCTTTTTACATTAACTTCTCTTTTATTAATTCTTAAGCTAAGTCATCATTTAATATCATTAAGTCATCATTTCTATTTTACGCATTTTATCTATACGTTGACACTTACACGATTCATATATCTTTTCCCTATTATAATATTTTATTTATATGTCGTATAAATAAATAATTGACACACTATCATTTTTTTCATTGCAAACATATAAGACACACAAACATATAAGACATAAAAATTAAAAATTCGGCACCTTCCGTCATGTTGTCAATAAATCAACTGCATCGATCAAGATATCGTCTTGATTCATCATTGCCGGTTATACCGGCTATACCGGCAAACTTGCTATAGCAATTTAATCGTACATCTTACCTGTTAAGGTCATCTCAATAGATGTTATGTAGAAACGATCTTTCCGTATATTGACATTACGTGCAGAGATCCGAGATGCGTACGCGTATATTACTCGAGAAGACCTGCACCGTCTTCCGCCACCACCGTCACCAACTTGTTTCTGTCTCGATCCTATATTAATACAGCACACTCTATGCTACGATGTCTGACGGTAGGAGGCCCTGCTCCGTTCTAAAATCGTCTCGATGCCACACTCTCAGCTTTGTCGTTTTAACGAAAGAAGCACATGCGCCGTTTGAAATCTCCGTATCTTCTTTCCATAATATCTAGTTGTCGCTGATGTAATTGCTAGTAACGTTCATAATTCTTAATTTCATAATTTTTTTTCTTTTTGTTTTCTTGTTTTATATCTCATTTACATATACTTCAAAATTGCAATTGAATAATTAAGTAATTAATTAAATTTTACAGAATAGCAAAAAAAAACATTACTCGTATTGTATGGAAGCTAGATATAGCGAAAGTCACTACTACATGTATTTAAATAAGTATATAAAACGTAGATAATTTTAGAATAATATCGCGTACGTATAATAATAATAATAATAATAATATACATAACATATTAATATAATATGAAATAATGGAGCATGTAATAATAATATTTTAATATAGTGTGAAAACATATATAATTTATTAGGAGTACAGAATTAACATTCATTATAAATAACAGTTAACAGTAACAAGTTTCGATTAAGACATATATGTACTATAAAGTAATTTATGATTTAATATGTATGTAATACTATTTCACTTTAGTGTATAATAAATTATATCTCTTTTGTTAAATTATTATATCGATTAAAATATTTTAAATTATTTAGAATATTTTAATCAATAAATGAGATGTATGACGTATATGTGATTATCTTGTTACGTCGGACAATTAATATTTCTTGGTAGATCGCTTCCAACGACGTGGCATCCACCCATGTATTTCTTCCTGTACTTTTCGATATAGAAGAAGCACGATAAACGGAATCGCCAAAGTTTCTTTTTTAAAGAAATAAATATACATTGCAGCTATTAGTAATGTCAAGTCAGTTATATAGCTTACGGTCGATCTGACTGTTCTTTTAGCTTCTAAAGCTAACTTTCCGTTTGCTTGATTAAAATAGCTTTCTCGTGCATTCTCCTTAGTTTCTTCGATTTCTTTTTTCATTGCTCGATGCTTACTATTCTCGAGTGCTTTTTGCAATTTCTCAACCTTCGATTCTATTGGTACTGTCGTTCCAAATCTTTCTCTAGAACTTGATCTTGATGAGGAGCGCGAGGAAGGTCTAGAAGATATTTTAGATCGAAAATCATGCTCGTTCAATTCATTTTTTGTTAAAGGTCGATTATTTCTTTCCTTAGAAGGTGTACGATTTCTGGTCTTCGAAGATGATCTTGAAGAAGCACTTCCTATTCTTTCACTTCTTCTCGCAGCTGGAGATTGGTCCCTGGAGTTTGGTCTACTTTTACGCTTCATCGTAGTCATCGTATTTCTCGTTGGAGTCGTACCTCTAGAACCAACGCTTTCTCTTCTAGAATGCGGTGTTTGACTATCTTTTTTTTCTTCATTGATTTCATTCTTATTTTTAATTTTTAATTTCAATTTCTTATCCTGCTCTTGTTTGTCTGTTAATTTTGGCGCATGTTTTTCTTGCACTCGATACTTTTGATCTTGATCTTCAGAAAATGAAGATCTCCGAGAGCTAGCTGCGCTACCGTGTCGTGAATGACTCGAGTATTCTCGAACTATCTCAGTATATTGATTTATAACAGCCATTTTAGCTTCTACTTCGGCTGCCTCTTCTTCAGGTGTCATGGATCGCAATTTCGATTGCATTCTTCGACTTTTTGCTGCTTCTGCCGCAGATATAATACTATCCGTATCTGATTCTGACATTGTAGGAGTCTTTAGAGTCTCGGACACAATAGAAAGATTCAAAATTTTGTCGTTGGTATCCATATTTATCTTTTCTATATCTTCTTGTTGATACGATTGCGATAATGTCTTTCTAATTGGTTTTTCTGGAGGAATCGATCTACCAAAATTGTTCTGAGGAATTGTCATTTCGTCTTTGGGCTTTTTTAGAATTGACTTGGGCATCACATTATTAGATGACGCGGAAGTAACCGTTTTAATGGGTGAAAGAGATGAAATCTCACAAATTGGTAATCCGTCATACGAAATCTGTAGTTCCGGTTCAACGTGTGGAATTGGTTTTCCCCTAGGATGATAAGTATCTTCTTCATCGATAATTTGTCTTGCCAGGATCCTTGATTTTAATAATTTCAAATCCTCGCTGTCTGCACTACTGATCTCTTCTGATGACTCTTCGGAAGTCTCAATGCTAATATTTTCCTCCTCCTCTGTTTCCTTTGTTTGAGCCAGTGATTGAGATTCTACTTTATCCACAGTAATGGATGATGGAATTATCATCTTCTCTTCATTATACATTTGTATCGACTCCTCTTGTTGCACCTCTTTTAGTAACGGTACAGTCGTTTCATGCCATCTACGCAGACGTTCCACGGATTCGACTTTGTTGGTCTTTTCCCAAGGATCTGCCATTGTCACTTCAGAGGGAAGATTTGGATCTGATCTAGCTTCAACATCCAATAACAAAACTGGCGAAAGAAGTTTTAATGTTTTTGATGCCGCATCTGTTTGTCCTTCGCTTAATCTTCGACGATTTTTTTTGGCTTGCCAGGAAGTGATTAAATTTTGCGTAGTAGTACCAGAATTGGATAAGCGTCTTCGAAGCGATGATTTCTGAACAGATTCGACATCTAATAGTGTCGATTTGGTTTGTTTCTCAACTTGCGTCTTTTGTTTGGCAGTTTCGGATGCCTCTTCAGCAGCAACTGCGCGATAAAAGCGTTCCATAGCTCGTTCGTGAAGAAGTTCAGTAGAGCTAACCGCTTCTCGCATTATTTCCACCATTTGATGCTGCGCGCTAAATAATTCTGGAAGAGATAATGATATTGGTGGTGGTATGAGATCGTCCTCATTTTCTATTAACTCAATCATATTCCGTTTATCATCTAAAACAGTGATAATAAAATTAACATTTACAAGACAATTCTTATTTTTCAAAAATATTTTAATAAAAAGATTTCACTCGTACTTACTTATACTGCTTTTAACTCGAATTTCTGTAGAATTCTCCATGCTGATTATATCTTGTGTTTCATCTTCTGGATATAGAACTAGCATAAATTCCGAGCTACCGTGTAATGCGTTCTCATCATGCTCTTGTAGTATTCTCTGAGATTGCAAATTATCCAATGGTAATAAATCGTTTACAACGGTCTGTTTTTTTGGAATTGAATTTGATGATGATAAAAATTGATGGTTTGCTGTAGTACGATTCTCCTCATTTCGATGTTCTTGAATTCTTGGCACGTTGAGTGGAGAGAGACTCCTTTCTTTGATTATAAAATGTGACGTGATATTGTCTTCGATAATTGGAGGAGAGATTTGCATGGTTGGTATTGGTTTTAATGTCATTGTTGTTTCTTCTTTTTTAATAACATCTTGCTACATTCAAAAACAAATATATTATTATATAATATCTTCTTTTTTTTAATCTAGAATTTATTTATAGCCTTTTTTTACACTTGATTATTTCTTACCTTGTCTTTCGCATTTGTCGCAATATTTGATCGATTGGTATGACTTCCAAGAAAAACTTGTTGCTTCGTGGAATTGTGCTCTCTTGATCTGATTGGAGGAATCGGAGGTTCTTCTTTTTCCAAAGTATCCAGTGCAAATGTTACTTTACTATCGGCTCTGGACGGTCTATCCAATGTAGAAGTTGGCATTGCGAGTCGTTGGACCGAAGCTGATCGTTCGTCGTACTTAAAACGACCATTATTTTCGTCGTCTCGGATTTTAGCTTCTTCTCTCGTTAGACTTCTTGTTCTTTGCGCTGGCGTAGTGAAACTCACCTCTCGTTTATCGCCACGAGATCTGCTGATCTCTCGATGACTTTGCGATTTTTCATTTAAAGACGGTATTACGATTCTACAACGTAAAATTATGAATTTATCGTTGCGTAACTAAATGTATGCTAAATTTAAATATTTATCGATAATATAAAGTACCTTCGTTTAATGTCTGGAATGAAGATAACATCGCTTTCTTCACTCGGATCGCTAACTCCGTAAGGATTCTCAGCTTTCACACGAAATTTGTATTCAGAACCTTCGATCAATTCAGTTAATGTTGCAGTTGTGCATCTGCTTGTAACTGCTTTAAGCCATACCTCCCAGCCAATCTAAAACATCATTGCCAAGTTTCTGAAAATTTTTACATATGGAAATAATAATTTCAATTACGTACTCTGTAGTACTCGACAATATAAGTTCCAATTTTACATCCGCCGTCATCTTCTGGTTCCTTCCACGACAACGTCACCGATCTACCTAGCGTCATTGCAACAGCTACTTTACCAGGAGCAGCGGGTCGATCTGTTGATAAAATCGATAATTCAAAAAAATATGTAATTTATCAAATTTATGACACTTTAAAATCTTAGTGTTTAAATTAATGTAATATCACCTGTTACAGTGACTAGAAAAGACGCAGTATCTTCGCTTAATTTGTTTGTGACTTTAACAGTGTATTCTCCTCGATCACTTCGTTTGGCATCTGGTATTCTCAGTACCGATTCACCATCCATCACTTCAAATATATGTCTAGTATCTTTGGATATCAGTTCTCCGTCGTGGTACCAGGTGACAAAAGGCATTGGTCTACCTGCTAAAGATACTTTCAGTCTAATAGTCTCATCTTGCTCGAAAAGCAAACCATCCTCATATTGACGTGGCAATCGTATCCGTGGAGGTGCTAAGACAAGACAAATAATTCAGCAATTTATCGACATTATAAAAAATAATGTTTATTTGCTTTAATCGAATATAGGTCTTCTTATTTAAAATTTGAATCACATATTTATGTATTTTTTATTTTGATAATTTACCTTCGAGAATTAATTTAGCTTTGGTAGCAACATGACCTGCTCGATTGGTGGCGGTACATTTAATTTCACCCTCATCATTAACGTAATAATTCTGGTGCGTCTACTACTAAAGATCTCGAAACCGTCCTTAAACCATGAGATTTTTGGCAATGGTGTACCAGAGAAGTGTATGACAAATTCAGTCTATATTAGAAAATTAAGTTTCGAATGCATTAAGTTTTATATGATTGAACGTGCAATAATTCTTTACGTACTTGTTCGTTTTCGAGTGCAATCGTATCTTTAAGCTCTAGGTCGAAATGAGGAGCGCAAGCGACAGTGGCCCTTTGTAAAGTAACCGTGAGTGGTTCAGAGACCTCGCTTGGTTGTGAAAGTCCAAGTGCATTTTGTGCTCTAACTCGAAATTGGTAACGCCATCCTGGCTCAAGACCACTGAGAGTTAGTTCTGGAAAAGCACAAAGATCGGAGGTGCTTCGTATCCAATGAGGAGAGCCTAGTCGCCGATGTTCGATCAAGTATCCGACGATCGCCGATCCACCGTTACTGGGTGATCTCTCCCATCGTATTGCAACAACATCTGGCTGCGTTTCGTTCGTACCCGATATCAAGATAGGTCTGCCTGGTGGGGCCGGAAGACCTATACCAAATTTCTTCAGTTCTTTTAAGTTTTCATAAAATTAATAATTAATCTACTTTGTAATAACTATGCATTTAATAATATTTTTTTTATTTGAAACTAGAAAGAGACAAGCAAATACAATATTAATGTTAAGAAATATATTCTTGCTAGAACTATATTATATTCATGTATGTATATAGAAGCAGATGATTTTCAACATCGGTACGTAAGTATCGCTCCCAAAATAAAATGCGTCGCGTTTGGCAGTACAGTAGAGTACTGAACCGGCGCATTATCCGTAGATTAAGTATTTGAGATATCTTGATTCCGCATAATGTTCATTGATTATGTGTTAAAAATGGACATCATACAATATTATAATAATTAATGGAGTAGACCGAAAAGCAATCTAAATCGTTTCTAAACTAAAATTAGTAACAGTCTAATTTTAGATGCTATTTCGCTGTCGAAATTAATTGAACGTAATTGCATGTGATTAATAACAATTTTTGTAATCTTTTATAGCTTAAGTTTGTATCAGTAGCAATAGGAAAACGAACTAAATGAAAAAAATAGGTATCGATAACATTTATAATAAAAAAATAATCAATCTTGACAGAATACAATGTAGTTATAATAATGTAATTATTATGTAAATTACAAATTGTACGACACATATTAGAAAATAATTTATTATTAATTTTCACTACTATTAAGTGTAATTATAATATAAAAAAAGATAATTTATATATATTTAAGAAAATGGATAAAGATTATATCTTTCGGAAGTAATAAAAACATTTATTACTTTTAAAACTACGTAAATAATTATTTTGTTGTTATAAACGTTATAACAAGAAAGATAGGAAAAAAAGAGAACAAGGAAAAATTTTTATGCTGATGTATTTCAAAATATAACATTTATTGCATTAAGTCAGATAGCGATTTCTTCTTTTTTAACTGACATAGTAATTTATTCTTGACTCTCAATAATGAATTTTCAAAATTATTAAGAATCATGGCATTAAAAGGCTATAATGGCATTAAAAAACAATAGACTAATTTACCTGGATTATCCCAACGCGTTTTCTTCGAGCTGGTGCCAACGGAGATACTTCTTGAATAATCTTTCGTGGTAGCGTTGCCCATTATCGTGTTTCCTCTTCCTCCTCCTTGTCAAGCTTTGCTCGACGATTACCCCGTTAATTTTCCAATCGTTCTCACATATCAAAATGTCAAAAGTATCACATTTACAGTACTATCTAAAGAATGATCAAAGAGCAAAATGATGCTGATGATGCCCAACTTGGGTGAAAGAGGGGTAGAAAGAGAGAGAGAGAGAGAGAGAGAGAGAGAGAGAGAGAGAGAGAGAGAGAGAGAGACAGAGAAAGAGAGAGGAAAAGAGATAGAAAGAGAAAAGAAAAGAAATGGCCAAAAAGAGTGAGAGAAAGATAGCAAGTATGCTTGATATAGCACGAGGCTCGATGGAGCACTGGCGAACTTCCCCGTGGTCGACGACTGTAGCGACGCCAAATCTCTTCAGCTTTTCTCGACATCTATCTTTGTCTCACTGGTGTTTATACTTTGTGCATATTTCTGTATATACATATTTCTATCAATATATATCTTCATAATAATTAAAAATGTATCGTTTTTGATTACATTATTGGATTAAAAGTTTGATCAGAAAGAAGTGTTATGTAATGCTTGACGTGTAAGATATTTATGTTAAAATTTGTATTCAAAGTTTATATAATTATTGTGCGTAATGTATTGCATATTATATTGATATTAATCTCTTTTATTAACGTAGCCTTATTCTCTTCATTCTTCCTTTGAATTTTATAATGAGATTATATAATGCTATACATTGGGAATAAATACGTAAATTTACACAAAAAAATATCAATGTCTTCCTCAATGATTGCAATATCAATGTCTTCCATCAATGATTGCATAAATTGCAAATTATTAAAGAATAAAAAGTGTTGTAAACTATTTACTTAAAGGTAACATACCATACAGTTACCTAAATAATCAGATAGTTTAAAATAAACTTGTCTCTTGTCATTTAAATTGCTATAAATTTTTTATTTTTTTTATTTTTTTAGAGTAATTATTTTGAAGAACTTTTATAAAAAATTAATTTAGAATATCGTAATCTGAACTGTATGCAATCATAATTTTTCCTTACACACATGTTTCTTTTTTTGTTGTATTTTTTAATATATTACTACATTAAACATATTGATTAGTAATATATTAACTAATAAATTTTTGAATTATTTGCATTTACATTATTAAAGATAATTCATTCAATATATTTTGTAATTAAATTATTATATAACATACTTATATTATTAGTATCATACTATGAATGTTCGAAAATTTTTCTTTTTGAAATAATTCAGATTTCTATTTGTCGAAATAACTATCGAATTCTTTCAAATATTCCTATTGTACTAGAAATAAAAGCATTCTGCTTGTAAATAATTAAATTTGCATAATTATAAAGTGATTTGCGATAGCTATTAATTCTATATATGTCCAAGAATCATGTAAAACCTTTATGGGATAGATATCTTTACGTTATTTCTCTGTAATTTCCGTTATTCCTTACTTAAAATATTTCTGCACATTTCTGCTCCAGGAAGATAAGGAGTCGAAAAATGCAGTTCCAGAGAGATAGAGAGATGAAAGGAAGGGAAGAGCCATGCATAAAGGAAGGGGAACACACGGTTAATCGGTGCCAAAGTACCGTTGTATCTGAATGGACCAGAGATGGCTTTCGGTTTTCCTGCAGCCTCCATTGCAGCTATAGCTTCGCACTACATTTATCGTGCATTGTGTTCGTACACATTTCATTTCATATAAATACACGTGCATACATGTACACGCATGTAAAAATTTTTCTTCTGTCACTAACGCGGAGCACGTGCGACAAACTCAAGTTAATGAGGCACGACAGTTTGCTTGTTGCTCACGTGGACATACAGATATAACGTCTGGAGTTGAAACAGCTGCTCACTGATACTTCACATTTTCGCGATGTATACCAAGTATATATTACATCGTGTACTATATAATGTTTCTTTATAATACTTTTCAAGTGTTTTCGAATTTTTCGATATGGTTCAGCGTGGACATCGTTATATTAAACTGGTGAGTACTATTTTATATATAATATATATTATATATATGTACTGATTATAATTATAATTAAAACGTTAATGTATATAAAACATTAAATCTAAAAAAATATGTTTAGAAAATTTTATTTTATTATTTAAAACTTACTGTCTAATTATATATTAAGATGATTCTTTTTAACAAATAGTTATGGAGATGTCAATGAAAAACTTGAAAGCAGCGAATATTCTAGAGGATTTAGAATCAAAGCTTGCATATATCCCAGGCGGTCGTGATCACGACGGACGACCTTTAATAGTAATAAATGTTCCACCAGAATTTGATTCAGCAACGAAGTCAAAATTAGAGTTTCTCATTTTATATTTTATATCAATTTTCAGGTATAGAATATTTTTGATATCTCATTAATTGATATATACACACTTAAAAAAAAAATATATATATATATATATATATATATTAAATTTATACATATAAGTGATTTAATATTTATTGATGATTAATTACATAGCGACGAGACGAAGGAAAATGGATTGGTTCTAATTGTAGACGCGCGTCATAGTGCATGGCGCGTAACTAGATCTTGTATTAGACTTTCTACGAATCTTATAGGATCTAAAGTCATTTCTGTGATCGTGATACGACCGGATGGTTTTTGGGATAAACGTGTCGACAGTTGTACCAAATCGCACAAAGAAGGCGAAGTGAGTAAATCAATTTAATAAAAATATATTACAACAATAATGACATTAAACTGATATGTAAATAACACAACCAATTGTAAGAAAAATGTCTTTTCGATTTAGGTTAAATTAAAAAAAATATATTAATTGTGCGTATTATTATTGTATAAAGGCGTAATAACTTTGATTTTCTTTTATTTTTGTCAATTGTTTTAGCCACTGTACGTTACTCTAACGAGGCTGCATGTGTACATCGATTTTTCTCAATTACCGTACGAATTAGCAGGTAACAAGGCGTATAATCACGTCGAATGGATTAAGAAGCGTATGGTAAATTAAACATTTTTATTCACGTATAAATGCAAATGATAATAAATGATATAATTAAATGCAAATGATATGTTAATTTCTTAGCTTAGCTTGATATTTATTTTTTCTTAGAAAATAGAAAATTATTCAAAAGATGCATTAGAGCTTGTATCGAAGATGACAAATTTACATCAAAGATTGAATACTTTTGATGGTATTCGTATAATGCAATCGGATGACGTAGAGTCTTACTGGGTAAAGGGCATAGAATTGTTATCAACGGCACGTCATATACTTCAATCAGGTTTATACATTTTTATCTATTAGATTTTTTTTTACGAGATTAAAAATATATTATATAAATATTAAAAGAAATAAATAAAAAAATTGTATGTAGTTTGTAACTGATATGCTAATAAAAATTTAATAATTTATTTTAAGCAATGGCGTCTCTTATATAAAAATAATGGAAAAAGTTAAATTTTACTTATTTAGGTAGGAATCTAGTAAGTTCCATGAGTAGAGAGTCCTCTAAGGATATTTTGGATACAATTAAAGGAATTCATAAGCTACTCGATTCTATCGAATTAAAACAGGTCATTTAATCACATTTACGATTGGCATATTCAAATTTATTTTATATGTACTTAGTACAATGTTTTAATACAATGTTATTCTATCGTTTGCAGATGGACATTGAAAATTCGTGGACAGAAATGGAACGAAATCTGGATACTGCCAGAGTAATCGAAAATCTGGAACAGGGTGTATCAAGCGTTACTGACTGGATCTTGGGTCCAGCAGACGTAATGCTGAACTCCTGTTGTCAGGTTGGCTTTGACGTTTCTTCATCCGAGGAGCTCCGAAGGCAACACGAAAAAATTGAGCTTCAATGCCGGGTAAATGAGTAAAACTTTATAATTTTCATTTTGTTTTAAAAATTTATTTCGTTTTAAAAAGTATTACATGGGATATAATTCTGTGTTTACAGGAGACTTACGGGCGATATGCAGAACTGCTTCATAAAATTGATAGTCTACCTAAAAGTAAACTACCAGAAGATTTAAAATCTCAAAGAGATTTCATGGACTTTGTTTGTCGTAGCTTCGCTTCACGACTCGAAAGACGTAGAAATGTATTAATCACTTCGCAAAGATTCTTTAGACTTGTTTCTGAGGTAGAAATCAAATCATTTTTATCGACCTAGTTATTAGCAATTGAAAGTGATTTTTTTTGCTATTTATTATTACAGTACTTCGATAAGACGAGTGAAGTATTTGAACAATTAGTCATGGGCAATAGGAATTACAACTTCTCTCAAGCAAGCATTAAACTCTTAACTTTGGAAAAAAGTCAAACGATTTTAGGTAAAGATGACTTAGTTATTAATATTTGTTCAGTTTCATGTTTAAATAATTTTTCAGATAGTTTAGAACGCGAGCTTGTAAAAGAAGGTGAAAAATTGTCGGACATTCTCTCTATGCCTGTAAAGGATGCACTTGGTCGAGAAGTTCATGTCAATTACGATGAAGATATCGTCAATGTCAAAGATATACTAGATGCGACAAATGCCAGAAAGAATATATTTAATGATAGTGTAGAATTACAAAAGCTGTCACTGAAACAGATAGCTTTGATATACATGTACGAGAGCGATGCCGAACAAGTACGGACTAAGATATAATACAAAAATGTTTTAATGCGTGCAAAAGAATATAATAAATCTATATGTCTATTGTACCTTCCAGGCTGTTAAGTGGTTAAATGATTTATTCAATGTTTTACTTCGAAATCACATGGAAGTTGGTTGTAATGTCAAGGAAATACAATTGCAAAAAGAGGAACACCAATCTTTTCAGGAAACAGCAAAAGTAATTTTACAGCGCGATTACTGTTACAAATTATTTTAATAAGATAAAACAAAATAATAGAATTGTTCTGTTTTACTTTCTGTAGAATTGTCAAGCACATAAATATAATGAGATAAATATTTATAGGGAACTTACGAATATGGTGGTCAATTGGTGAATGGAGCACGTGTGCTGAGATTATCTTGCAGAATATCTTTAGAGGGTAATGCTAATCTATCTTCAAAATTACGACATGCTTGGCGACAGTTCCGATCTGTTAGTCAGGAACAATTAACCAGGCTACGAGTATGCGCTGTTTTTCATAGAAACGTCGAAGATGTATGAACGTAAATTAATATAATTCAATATGTAAATTCAAAAGTTGCTTAAGTATTTTATTCTTTTAGTATTTTAGATTAAAAGAATTATTATTTTATGCATTATCTATACTATATATATTGTCTCTGTCTTTTCTATATTTTAAATGAATTTATTTAAAGCATTGTACCGGATTACAAAATTTGGCGGAAACAGTGACGGCCCTGTATCATTCTGCAAAAGATGAAGATGCAGCGGCAAAAGCACGCATCAAAGAAAGTATAAGAGATATCCTTGATAATCGAGAGAAACTTTTATTGGAAGTTGGTCGGATGGTAAGATTGGGTCGTCTCCTTAAGACGAGATTGAAGGAACCTCTTCATAATCAATCGTAAGTATAATAAAGAATCCGCATTAACATAATTACTAATAAACTTTTAATTTGAAGATATTATTATACGCCTCAGAGATTGGTATGATTTAAATTACACAATTACGCAAAAAAATAGCCGTTAAAAAAATGAAAATTATAAAGTAAAAATAATTCTATAAAAATATTTTGATAATAACATAAATCAAAATAAGAAATGTTTAAAATTCCTCTTTTCTATTTTTATAAAATATAATTCGATAATAAATAAAATATAATAATTAAATATAGTGTAATATATACTTGGTGTGTGAAACGCTTGCGTGTTTACCGGAGACAGTGTATGTCAGTCTATGGCTGGCTCTCGTCGAGATAGCTTCTATAATTTAGAAACGGTGCATGTAAGTGAACTGCAAGATAACTGACATTTCATAACGCTTGATTCAACTTAAATACAGATTATTTTTTATTCTATATATATATATAGTGTTTTTTTATTAGTTTGTGTTTAATCCATGTAGTAAACATCACATGAAATTTCTTCATAAAAATATTATTTAGCAATTTTCTTCTAAATCTGCACTTTATAATACTATTGTTTTACAAATTTTATTGATACTTTTAACATTGAATAATCACATTCTAAAAAATTGTTACAATATTCATAAATAATAAAATATCATGGTCCATACTTGTTTGGCTTCGTTCCACGGTGACGTCGTAACTTAAAACTCAACTGGTAACGCGAATCTCGTTTCAATAATATTTTGGTGAACTAGTTTGCATCAAGAAGAATCATCTACCATATTGCACACATCACGAAGATTATTTTTGGTACATTTATCTTAATAATAAAAAAAAGAACTGTATAAAAAAATCATAATGTTCAGAAACTTAGATTAAACATTTTTTCAATAAATCTATCTTTAATATTCTTAAAATTTAATATAGAAATGAATTATGGCGCTTCGTAAAGCAAACGTGAGCTACGAAATTAGAACTTTGTCCCAAATTGCAGAGCCCATGTGATGCCGCAATGTACTGTCAATGCACTGTCAACTATTAATTATGTAACTGATCTAACATTTTCTTATGTCGTATTTTTAATTCAACTTGTACTTTTAATTTAATTATTTTCTGATGACAAACTAATCCTATGAAGAAAATCATCTGGAAAAAAACCAATATTGAAACGATATGAATACGATTTGACAAAGTCGTATCAATATATTTAATGTTTCTTTTATTATTATTCTACACACAATTATAATGAAAGTAATATTAATATAAAAGTAATATTAATATAAAATAACAAAAAGTAATAATATCATACAGCTTACGAAATTCACTAACAAATGGATACTAAGTAATATTCAAAAATTTCTAAACTCCAGAATAAAAACATTTATTTATAAAGTATTAATTTGACCAACAAATTCGCTTTTCTAGGATGTCTAAAGTTGAGGATGCTTCGATCTTTGGTGATAATTTGACAGCAGTCGAAGCTATCTCGGCGAAATTAGCAGAAGTTACGCGTCTCGCAGAAAAACTGGATGCGAGACTATGTGAAGCTGGAGCTAAAACTCGACCGATGTCTATTCCTGCCGTTGTGACGTCCTCTGCTTCGTCCTTGCTCTCGATATCTGCTATGTCGCCATCAAACGAGTCCATGCATACGGCTTCTAACACGACTACGTTGACGTCGAATATGACAACTTCAGCCGTGTCTATAATTGCTGAAATGCAACCAATAACTTCGGAAACTGTAACTACAAAAATTAAATCTGATGTAATTAAATCTATTACTCCTACGGTGGAAAAATTTGATGACAGTTCATTTCATATTCGTTCGCAATCTATGGAGAATGTCGAAATATCAAATAAAGATTTTAATTCTAAGGTATATTAATATGTTTTAATATTGATTTATAAATATTTTTCTTTTCCTTTTCTCTCTTAGAAAAATATTTTAAAACATTTTAAAAATATTTTCATCTTTTTTTATTTTTATAGGAACTTACCGAAAATTCTCGTAGCGAAAGTGCAATAGGAGAATACAATGTGGAGGGTTATACAACAGCAACTGAATGTTCAACAACTCCACCTCCACGTTCGAGAAGTGAATCTTTCGTAACATCGCCGGAATGCGAAGATCTTTCTATCATTGCACCTGTGATGACACATTCTGGTTCCACTTGGTATTTATATGAATTTTAATTACTTTTAGTTATCAAATAAAATTATGAATATCAATTAAAATCAATAAAATGTATCCATTTTTAATATATTGCAACAAAATCTTTCATCAACTCAGAAAATTGCAAACATTTAAAGGTGGACCATGGAAAAGCCTAAACTAATAACTACAATTGCACCTCTTACTTCTTCTTCGATTAATGAAAATCAGAAATTTCCTGAAACAACATCAAATATTTCAACTATCAGCGAAGTAAACCCAACAGTACGAATGAAAACAATGGATAAAATTACTAATGTATGTTATATAATTCAGTTAGTAAAGGAAACAATTTATATTATATATATATATATATATATATATATATATAAAACAATAACAATAATTATATTAGGAATCTCAAATTTTAAACAATACAAAAAGATAAATATAGTAGGCTAATGAGAGTCAACAATGACAAACGGTGCAATGCTTCATGTTCCGTGATGATTAACAACGCTACATCTTTGTCAATTTGCGAGTGACTTAAACATTATGGACATGTGAACTAATTATACTTTGTATCATTCTTGCTGAAGAGGACTCCAAAGAGAATTAAAATGTAAATCGAAATAAAGAAGACATCAATCCAATACCTGATTATTGATTGTTCACTAAATAATTGTGCCGTTTATTATTGCTAACTCTCATTAGCCTACTATATTTATCTTTTTTTTTGTATTGTTTATATATAAAACATATGTATACTTTTTAAAGCCCTTTACTTCAATTACTTCAATTTTCATTTAATATTGTATCAAGCAGCGTAATTATTACACTTTTAAAGTATTACAAGTTATAAATTGTTTGCGTAGGAAAAGTCAAACAAAATTATAAAAGAAGTTACCGAAACAACCGTTTTGCGTGTTTTGCACGACATTCGATTAGGCGTAGCCTCTTATAAAGTGATATCAAATACTGTGCAAGATCATCGGCAATATATCGACGTGAAAGATATTCAAAATGTAGAAGGTGTGCTAGAAGCAGAATCGCGCGAAAAATCGGATGACATTCACCATCATCTCGATTTATCTTCGTTCAGTTAGTATTTTATAATTTTTATAATTTTAATGATTCTTTGTACACTATAGTATTAGGTGTTGGAATTAATTCGTAGCGTTTTACAAGTGATGGGAAGTACTTTCATTAATGTATTTTTTAATGCTCATGTGAAATAAATAACATTCTTTCATTAAAAAACGCTACGAATTAATTCCAACATCTAATATAATAATACATTTATATAATATTATTTATAGTAATAAAAAATAATGAATCTCTTATTATTATATTCACTCTTTTATAACTAAATTCTTTTTAACAGAAGAACCTAAAAATTATACTGGCAAAAGTTCGAAAAAAATGCAATCGAATCAAAATATTGCAACGAAAATTCGAGAACATGTGTTGAATGAAAATACATGCTCTAACTTAAGAGAATATGAGGATATACCGTTGCCTTCGCAAAATCTTTTACGACATCATGAGGATAGCGAAATTAAAATATCATCGATGAAAAAAAATGATAATTTAGAAGATGAAGATTTTCTTGAAAAGACAAGAAAGGTGAGTTTGCAAGTGTAATTTTGGTGACGAAGCTACTATCTTCGATCGATGTTTGATCGACCTTTTTTCTTTCAAATTCTTTGTTTGTTACATTTTAATGTGCTAGCCATTTGGTATGTGTTTAGAACAATTCTTATTCATTTAAATTTGTAAGTTTTGTTTTCCTTTATTATTGCATTAAATATAACAATGATTGTCTATCTAATTCTTACAACCAAAAATTATTTGCAGCTTTGATGAAGACAAATTTTATATAAAGAATTTGATGAAAACAAATATTACCAGCAAATATAGATCTTACGATTTTGCTTGATTAAAGAAAAAGATGTTTATACATATGGATATGTTTCATGTTGAAAATATCACATGTATTATATAGAATCGGCAACATTAAAAGAATTAAGAATTGTTAACTGCGTATTTGTTATGCTTTGCTGTCTGTAACTTTATTGCAAATAAAACTTTAATATAATATTATATAATATCGACACCTGAGCCGTAGAAGCTATATCGAGAAAAACATGAAGGAAGGTTTATGTCAAGAAATGAATGAAAAGCGGTTTATTTCATGCGAGGTATAAAGACCGCAATATTTTCTTCTCATAAATTTTATAGTGGTATGACGGAGAAACGAACGGGAATCGTCTTGATTTTTAATCCTATTTCTCACACTTATTTATTCATCTATTATTTAATTTTCCGTAACTAAATTTGTGCAATTTATGAGTAGTAAATATTGCGCTATATAAACACTTCTTTAATTTCATGCGACTTGAATCGTTCTCGCTTTCTCGATATAAACCGTACTTCGTATGCGTTTCAACATAGACCGATCTTCACGCCTCATGAAATAGACCGTTTTTCATTAATTTCTTGGCATAGACCTTTCATGTTTTTTTTTTTTTCGATATAGCACTTTCTACGGCTCAGGCGTTGATATGCTGTCGTGGATTTTTAGTATGTATCGCATGACGCATTTGTTATTTGTGTAAATAAAAGATGTTTAAAAGAAAATTGTGTGTGATAATTCTTAACATAATAAAATTTAATTAAAAATATATTGGATAATCATATATTACACTTAAAGACTTTTTTTCATTTACAATCGACGATTTCACTTTCGAAGCTGTTGCCCTGCGCAACTCTGCTCTGTAGAGCGTGTTCGACGAACGCAACGAAGGTGAGCGGGAGGCAGCCGGCCGGAGGCTAACCCGGCTAACCGGAGTGCGGACTGGCCGGAGGCCGTACTGCTCTCTGTCGGTTCAGTCTTGGTTCGGCTGGTTACTGCAACCGATCGGTTGGTGACGTGATACACTCGTGACATGTGTCACGCAAGTGTTACTGCCGTTGTTGTCGTCATTCTTACGATTTCTAACAATACCGCTTAAACGCGAATCGAATTTAGGTGATTGTTATATCGTGCCAAGTAAAAATTATACTAAACAATATTTCATATTAAAAAAAATATAACTTGTATTATACATCAAATTAAAATGTCAAAAACCATCTGCTTATTAAGAGAGACGAAATAAAGCAAAGTTTTTCCCGTCTTTTTAATTTAAAAATTTACTACATAAGAAAACAAAAGCTTAATTTAAATTATAAAAAATAAAAAAAGAATTTATAATTATGCATTAAATATAGAAATGCGCAAATTTATATATTATAATTGCGGGTTATATATATATTTGTTAATAGGAAAATTTCTTTAAGATATAAAGAGTCGATCAAATTATTTGCAAATAATTGAACGGTCCTCTGATGTAACGGGAGAAATCATAAACTTACTTAATAAAGAAACATATAAAAAATTTTTTGTAATATTGATTGATATTTTTATCGGATCATCTTCGGTTACATATGATTTTCACCGTACGTTACTTGTTGAAAGTTACCAGTCAGTCCGGTTTTATTCTACCATTTGTTCGTCTCTGTAGATGACGTCATCGTACACACAAAGATATCTACATAAAGTATTAATATGTTATATCAAAAAGAGAAAACACAGATATTACTGTACGCAACATACATTTTTAATTGATCGTGACTGTAAATTAACAAATTGTTATTCCTTTTCATGTAGAAGAAATAACCTAACTTCGATAAAAAAATTGTATTCCTTTTATATTTTTAATTTAAGAAATTAGTGCAAATTAAAGAGATAAGATAACATTGAAAAATATTAAGTTGCGAAAAAACTTTTGTCAGTTAAATATCTTTGAGTTGTCTATTTGTATTACAGACACAATCATCTTCAGTTTTACATTCACGAAATTTTCGTACTAGCATCTTTGGCAAAGTGCCAAAAATAAAGTCAATTAGAAAAGACAATTTGAAAGAGCCAACTCGAAAACATGTTCATATATTTTTTATCTGTAAAATCTTTGAGAATATCTATGAGCTAAATGTTTATTGTCGCGTTTTAGATCGACGTACGTCATTGTAATATATTTAGCACCAGGCATTGAAATCACTGTGTATGTTCGGCCCAAACGTATCGGTATAACGTCGCGTAACACTATTTTAATTTTCAGCAGCTATATTGTCAACTATTGCTTAATTTGTAGCATATATAAATATCGAGTGAGTATTTTATGACATAATTATGTCGCGAATATAATTTTGCTAACACAGATCTGAAACGTTTTGATTATCACATAAAAGATAAAATTAACAATGATGGTGGATGGTCCTGATTCGATGGCACACGTGCATCCTGAAAGATCTGTTGAGACAAATTCCGAAATTGTCATGCAAAGAGATGAGGATACGCCACAACAAATCATCTCTCCAACTACTACTATAAGTACCATTGCTGTGCAAAGTGGAGAAACGCGTGTAGTAATCGCTTTACTTCAAGTAAGAAACATGTATTGCATTTTAATCTATATAATAATAATTTATATTTTTTATTGTTATTGATTTGTTCTGTCAACGCAACTTATTTTATTTTATTTTATTTTATTTAGAAGTTTTGGAAAACATTACTTGAAAATCTTTGTGAAAATAAAATATTAGATATGAATTATTTCATTAAAATAATTCTTAGTAAAGAATAATTTTTCATTGCAATTTCATATATGACACTATGGTGTAGGTATTTCGGGATTCGGTTGCTTCAGTCTATAGCTATTTCCGAATCCTCTCGAAACCGTAAGCGTTTTAGGTATCTACTGAGCAAAACGAATCTCCCGAAACTCTACGAAGGATAAATTTAACCACTAGGTACAGTAACTCCCATTACACACCACCATGATCAGATAAACCCATCTTATGTACGTTACGTTGGATTCCAAAGTATTTAGAAACATGATCGCACAATGCAAGTTACATTTTAAGTGTTTTATTATAATAATTATAAATTTAAATTTTTATTACCTCAAATTTTTATCACAAGTGAAAAAGGCCGGAAAATAAAACAAATATTTTTTAATGCTTAAAATTAAATATATATCTAATTTCATGCAGTTTGAAAGAAGAAAAAACTATGTATGTATATAAATTTTTATCCTAATATAAATTATTAATTTAAATCATAATAAACTAATATAACAGATTCTTCAAAATTAATTTATAAATAGATTGAATAATCGATAAACTCGTATCGAAGTAAGAGAGATCTCTCGTAGCATGGATCTGCACACTCTCGTATAATCTAACAAACCGGTATTATATACACACATGCACACGCACACACACACACGCGCGCGCGTGTATACGAGATGAGTCGAGGCAGCTTGGGCTGGCCCGGCTCAGTGGCGGACGAGTGACATGATTTTTCCTTTTACCGTATCTTTTCATCTATAATAGTCTATATCATATATATCTACAATCTAACAATAGTACTTCGTCTGAAACAAGAAAGAAAATGTTCAAAGATTCTTAGACACGCATAAACATATTTTTACAATGCAACTACTAACATTGTCAAGCATGAGAATTTATTTAGTACTATTGCATGTTGTGATATCAGATAATTTGAATAATTTCCAACAAATAACACTTAAGAAATTGAAACAATTAATATAATTAATATAATTATTTTTATTACTGATGTATAATCTTTTCTACTTTTATTCTAATCTGTAAATTACAAATGTCATTTTTTTCTTATAATACAATATAATATATTTCTCAAGTTTTTAACAAATACATTGAGTATTTGCTAATTTTATCAGTTATTTCGATATCTTTAAAAAGGTAATCATAAAATAATATATCTCTTTTCGCTAGCATATCTTAAAAAAAAAAAATAATTTCATCGCTCAAGTAGCGATCTACATAGAGAGATATACACCAGAAGAGAGAATTGGTCAATCCAAACGTAGTTATTCGGCAGTATGCCAAAGATGAAAATGGAAACATACCTTGCTCCTTTCTGCAGCCCAACCTCACGAGGTTGATGAACTCTGGAGGGCCGATTTCTGTCTATACTCGTTTTTTGCTTTCTATCTTTTCTTTTTAATAATGTTAGAGGAAAAAGATCTCTCTTCTGAATATGATTTTCAACATTACATATGTGGCTGTTAGATAATTCCAAAATTTATTTGAGAGTTAAAATAATCTTTATATTGCATAAGCAAGCGAACATTTTTTTTAGATTTTTTTTGCTATTTGTTATACTTTACAATTATTTAAAATAATGAATACAATATTCTAGTAATTGCGAAAATGATCATTCAATGGAGAATGAGAATATTTAATAATATTCAATTTATCTATGCCATGTCGTTTATACTGTCGAAAGATTCGGAAGATATCTGATGGTTTATCATTATACATCGCTTTATTATCGTTTCTGTTCAGAGCGGCGAATGGCTGAAGCTGAAAATACTCGAGCTACAACCAGAATTAACGAAACTTGGTGCTTCCGTAAAAGAAGCCATGGAACTTTCGAACGCACACGATCAAGTGTTACTCCGATTACAGGTAAAGTTAAACGTTTTTATTTATCAAAATAAATTTCAAATTGTGTAAAAGTTTATATTAAATATTATTAAATAGAAGTGCTTAAGATCTCCATTAATTAAAACTTTGCCATAATCAGAATAAACAAAGCCCGGTAGAAGAATTATTGCGACAAGCTGATCAATTAATCACGACCCAGAGACCAAGAGCAGAAGTATACACTGCCATGGCGGAGACATTAGGTCAGGCATGGCGCGATATAAATCAACTTTTAGAACGTCGTAAGAAAATACTTGACCGAAACGTACTATTTCAATGGTACAGCAAAGTATAATTAATTAATCATATATTCGTACTTTTCAATTAATTATTTAACAAAATAGATTTAATTTTTTATAGTCGCGCGGCAGAATGTAGAGAACGTATGGAGGCGTTGGAAATGGCATGTAACAACACGTTATTACCGATCGAAATAGAAGCAGTAAAAAGTTTTTTATCGAAGATTCAGGATCTTCGCAAAGATATGTTGGAAGGATTGATGGGTGCATTGAGGGAGGGTAAAACATTGCTGGATGAACTTAAGGAATTGGTAAACGAAGGCACTTTAGATTCTAGGTCGGATACGATTAAAGATGAAGCTAATCATGGTATGTCAAATGTCTATTCAATACCAATTAATTATTTGTTTATATTTAGCTAGATCGCTGTCATAAAATTAAAATTTTTATGATAAAGAAATATCGTATTTTATTAGCCGTATTACGAGTTGAAAAATGGCTGGAAGAACTACATGATAGAAGGCGGTTGATCGAGACAACTTTTCGTAGCAGAAAAACTCAATTGGAGCAATGTCTTGCTCTCGCGTTACTCGCGACCGATCTTCGTAATCTCGAAGAAATTCTCAATGACAGAATGGCTGCATTAGAGGGCAGTTGCAATCAATTGGGAGATTCTGTATCTAATGTAGAACTGCTTCTTTTTGAATTAAAAAAGTTGCAAGTCGAAGCAAAGGTATCCGAATAGAAATCAATTCGACTAATATCTCGTCAAATATAATTAAATATATTTTATTGTCCTGTGTAATCTTCGCTCTTTTAAAAGAAAAATTCATTGCTTTTTAGGAGTTTCAAGATAAAGCTATTAAAATAACTAAATCGACCGAACGATTAGTGTCATCGGGACACTTTGCAGGCGAACAAGCGACCGAGCAGGCGTTTGCGATTCTTAGCACTGCTACCGATTATATTAATGATTTAGACCAATATAACATGTTGTTGGATAGAACAATGGCTTTTTTTGATTTGGCACAATCAGTAAATGTTTCTAACTTTCTAATTATCTATAATGGACTAATCAGTGAAATAATGTTTTATAATTTAATGAGTATATTTAAACTTGATTACTAATATTAGTCAATGCATTAGGCTATCACAAAACTGGACCAGTTAGAAATTCAATTAATAACAACGGAATATCCTCCACGACTCACACGTCTTCATGCACAAATAGTGGCTATGATAGAAGACATAATTTCAAAGCCATTGTCAGAAGGATATGCATTATTAGACATCACAGGAAGAGAAGCATCTGGTGCCGAGGTTAGATCAATCGAATAATTAATTATATTTACTATTACGCGAGTTAAGTTATCAATGAAAGGATTATATGCTGATATAAGATGGCTATATCGCATTAATATATAACAGGGTATTAAAAAGATACCATTTAGCACTCTTATAAGATAGATAGTACAGATATCGAATAAAAAATCTTAGTGAATATAGATCGGAAACTCAGCCGTTTCTAAGCATAAACAATTATTATAACAGACATATTGGCTTCTACATGTTATATAGTACGTGAAGATTTATCTCAGTATTTACAAACCGCATTCTGAATGTTCCTATTTAATTTCCATATATTGCTTTATAATTAAAAATTTCTCCGAGAATCAATAAGTTAATATCAACCAACTATTACGATTAGATATTATGGGAGATCACTTTATTGAATCTGTAATTCTCCCAAATAGGCTATTGGTGCTGTTTATCTCAATTTTTCTCTTTTTACATATGCAATACGTAGAAAAGACAATAAGCCAGTTATCATACTAATAAAATTGTTTAAATATCTCAAAAACGATTGAGCTTTTGATTTATGTTCACTAAGACTTTTTACTTAGTATAATGTATTATCTACCACATATAAAGGCTGAAAGTTTTTTTGAACGTTCTATATAAATATTACTAATTTTATAAATCATATGTTTATTAATTTTTTATTGTATATTTTTTATATTGTATATTATTGTCGCAATCTTTGTTATTTGTTATGATATTTTATTTTGTGTGTGTGTGTGTGTGTGTGTGTGTGTGTGTATGTATATCATGTTTGTTACAGGGTATAAGAAATGCTGTAGAAAAATTGGAAAATCGCAAATTTTCTTTGATGGAACGATGTACAGCTCATAAGGAAGAAAATTTAGAGATTTCGAGAATACTAACTACATTTTTAGATAAGCATAATACCTTACAAGTTTGGCTAACTGATATTGTTAAAGCCTTTCTTCAAAAGCATCAAAATATGGGCAGCGATTTGGCAATGGCGTGTGATTTTCATCAAACTCATTGCCAATTACTAGCCGAATTGGAAAATAAAAGTGAAGAGGTAGATCATTTAGAGTTGGAAATTCTTCCAATTATAGAACGCCTGGACGAGATGCAGAAATACGAATTACAATTAAAAATAAAAAATCTTGAAGACGAATGGACAAAAACAAAGATTACAATAGTAAAAAGAATTAAATTGAGTACCCTTTATATACAGTTCTATGAAATTGTGAACGAACTGACTTATGAAATGGATTTTATCGATAACGAATTGAAAAAGCATGAAGATGTGTTAGATGAGGCTAGGTTTAATGAAATAGAAGAAAGATGGAAATCTTTTGAGTCTCTTTACAAAAAACTTGATAATCATGCAAAGATATTTCTCAATGAAATAAACAACGTAAGTAATTCTTTAATTTTATAATTTTAATAAGAGAATTTAATAAATTAAAATAATCCGTTAAAGAGCTCAGAATACAAGCAAAATATTCTTCGCTATTTTTATAAATTACTAAACATTATATTTAATTAATCAAAATACAAACGTTTCGACTTTACATCCGGTCATTTTCGATGTTACAACTACCGTCTACATTAAAATAATGACATACTAAAAATTTTAGAAAAGTCTAACGCTTATAATATAAAAATCTCAATTCTGAAGCAATAACGCGTGCAATCCGAAAATTGTATTTTGATTAGTTAAATATAATGTTTAGTAATTTATAAAAATAGCGAAAAATATCTTGCTTGTGCTCTGAGCCCTTTAACGGATTATTTTAATTTATTTAATTGAGCATTGAATTACTTTTTAGAGAATTTAATGTTTAGAATTTATTATATAATATACTCGTATTATATAAGAAAGATATATCCATATTCTTTCAAAAATTGTATCGATATTCTTTCTTGGTAGATTGATGATTTGTATCTCAACGTATCGCAAGCTTGTGTGTGTGTTCAAACTCTTTTAGAAAAGTTTGCCAATCGGCAACTGATTACAACAGAATGGAGGAAAAAATGGCAGATTACTGTCCAAGTAATAAGACAAAGGCGAATGGAATGTGAGCAAAAAGTAGAAGAAAGTAAAGAGGTGTGTTTTCTAATTTACATTGTCAGCATTTTGTTTACTATACCTTTTTATCTTAGATTTAATTTATTTGTGGGAGTCAGTTTTTAATTTATTCTTATTTATTTATTTATTTAAAATAAGACTAGAAAGAAAATTCGATAGTAAAGTGCTCATAAAAATGCCATTTATTATCTCTTTTACTAATTTTTATTATTATTGATTTATTCTATTGTAGACATTAGCGTGGATAACAAAATTTGAGATGACGTTGTATCCAGTAATAACAACACGATCTTCTAGAATAACTGATATTTTGGATAATTTACAAGATGTAAGAATTCGGATTTCATCTAAATTAAACAAAGCTTTTCATGAATTGAATACCAAAATCAAAAGCATTCAAATATTTGTCGAAACAGGTAATCAAAACATATTTATGTAAAAATTCACAAAGATAAATGAACTTTCGAAATTTAAAACAAAATACACAAAAAAGAATAGTGAGAGTCAACGTGGAAAATAATCCACAAAATGCTAATAAAAAATGCTAATGAAAAAAAATTTTAATAATAACGTGAACGTTAAGTCGCGGGAAAAAATAAGTGTATATTTCGATTTCATTATTGATCCTCAGCTAACAAAATACTACAATAGAAATCGCATCTTTATTTGTATAGAATCGATATGCATACTGCTGTGGCCCACAAATGCAAGAAAGTCTCTAATCTTTTAAAAACGTTGCCGAATACTGTCAAACAATTGGCAGTAACTGTGTGTGTATCTTGCTGAAATGCAAAGAACAATTTTTGCAACGTATTTCAAAAATAAAATCAAAACAAATCATTAAAAGAAACGATTAGCCATTAGATTAGAGCCATTATACCTTCACTGTAACAAACTGCGATGTAACATTCATGTCCTTATAACTAAAATATATCATTCTTTGATTAGCATTGCACATTATTTTCCACGCTGACTTCCATCGCCCTCCTTTTTGTATATCATATTTGTATCATGTTGCATTTAAGAAGTCATATTTAATTAAAATAATTAATTTAATTAGGTGAAGCTAAAGCAACCGAGCAAATTTTAGAAAAACTCGTGCAAATGCGTGAAAAAGTGAACACTATCATCAAAGATTACGATATATTATTAGAATCTTTAATTTTTATCTTTAAAAATCTTGAGGAGGTAAGACAGATTTTAAATGCAATACAACATCATTTAATTTATACATATACCTTGAAATATGTAAATTATTCTTCAATCGTTATTTTTAAGATTGAGCGTAAAATTGAGGAAGCAAAACAAGAAGTTGAACACGCCTCAAGTTTTACGAAGTTGATTGATGTGGATGGTTCTTTAAATAAACTTAATATATTAAAAACGTTTATTACGGAATCTTTACTACAAATTCGTACAAAATCTGAAGAAATAATAGACAACATTAGACTACAGGAACCGCTAGAATCAGCAACACAAGACATTGAGAAACTGAACCGCACGATAGATTCTGTGCGTGTTAAATTTGAGTTATTCCAAACCGAAACGTCAAACCGTCTCGAAGAATATCGGCATCTGTGTATTTTTAAAGAAGATATCGAAAAAATTAATTACGATCTACGTGAATTAAACGAACAGCTAAAAAATATGGATGGAAGAATTGGTGACAATTTATCAGTTTTGAAAGTGACGTTAACTGCTTTTGAACAGTTTGAGCAAACAATAATGGTAAATTACATTATTACAGTAATTTTGCGATTATGAGGAAATTATAAAAATTTAATATTCAAATATTTGTTACTAGATTTTAGACAAAAGAATTGAAACTTTTGTAAAAAAAACAGAAGAGACAATTGTTCCATTAACTCCACAAGTGACGGATGAAATTTTATCTCTGCGCAACAGATGGGATCATCTGAGGAAACATGTTAGAGATACCAAAAAGAGAATGCATTTAAGTAATGATTATTTCATACTCTTAGAAGAAGCCAAACAATGGTTTAGGGAAGGTAACAAACTTTTGGTGATTATTGCGCGTAAAGCAACAGCCGTAAAAGTGCCTGAAGAAGCTATTGATTTACTGCAAGAGATTGATGCTTACATAAAGCCAGGTGAAGATCAACAGGAAAAGAGAATTGAGAAGTTGAAACAATTATCGACAATAGTTTTCGGTAAAAGTGGCATCATATTTAAGAAAAAGTATACGTTAAACGAATAAAATAAATACAGAAAATGATTTGTTTGCAACATATGTTTTAGGTACAGACAGACTTCCGCAATTTAACGAAGTGATAGTAGAGAATCGGCAAATGCTAGATTCATTCGCAGTTATTTCTTCCGAGTTGCGTACTCTGAGTCAAAATTTACAGAATGCTGAAGATCTCCGAGAGAAGCTGCAAATCGAGAAGTTAGAAGCTGATAAAAAATTACAAGCTGTAAAAATAGAAATGGCCGCGATGGAAGCTGCAAAGATAGAAGCGGAAAACGCAAAAAAACTTGCGGAACAACTTGCGGCTGAGACTTTAGACAAAGCTGCGATAGAGGCAAAAAAATTAAAAGAGGAACATGCACGAAAAATTGTTCCTTCCATCTCTCATTCCGTCTCCGCTCAAACTGACGAGACCATAGTTGAAGAAACAATTCATAAAACTTCTGCTGTAACAACGAAAGAAATTCATATTCTTCAAAAGGTATTTTAAAGATAGATTTAAATTATTGATGTTATAACTGTAAAATTTATACTTATAATTATTATAGATGGAAATCGAGAAAGATGTTCCAATTATTCAAAAAGAAGCTAGCCCATCTAGAAAGCTTTTATCTGAAGAGATATGTGACAAATTACAAGAATATGCTAAAGAAACACAAATAAACAAAATTGTTTCATTAGCTCCAGAATTCACAGTTCCTTTGAATGATGCAACAGTTCAAGAAGGCAAAGAATTCAGTTTTGAATGTCATCTAATTGGTCAGCCGATACCAGAAATAGTATGGTACAAGGATGGAATATCGATTTTAAATAATCCAGACTATTTAACAACTTATACAAACGGCGTTTGTACTTTAAAAATAGAAGAAACGTTTACTGAGGATTCTGCCAAATACACTTGTCGTGCGTTTAATATTCATGGCTCTGTCGAAACATCGGCTACTCTCACTGTTAAAGGTAACTTGATTTTACGCGAATTTTATTAATTACTAGTACATGCATCAATACTTAATTGTTTATGTTAAAAACTTTTAATGTAGAAATTATCACGGAAGAACAACCAAATGTTCCTGTTTTCGTGAAAGAATTGCAGCCTTCTTTTGCGATGGAAGGGTGCTCTCATAAATTAGAATGCACTGTTAAAGGAAATCCTCTACCGACAGTACAATGGTACAAAAATGATATCAACATCGATAATTCTCCGGACTATATTATCACTTTTAATAATGGAGAAGCTATTCTAAAGTTTGATGAAATTTTCTTGGAAGACAAAGCTTCGTATACTTGTAAAGCAGCAAATCAATGGGGACAATCATCTACTACTGCCTATTTGGACGTGAAACGTAAGTTCTTATAATAATAACATTGGTAATGACGCACTAAAAAAATGTATTTTCTTTTTATTTACATGAATATTAATTTTAGCCGCGCAAATTTCTATGAAGAAACCATATTTTGTGGTACCGTTATCAAATGCTATGGTCAGGGCAGGTCAAAAAGTGAAACTAGAATGCGAAGCTAATGGAGATCCAATTCCTAAATTAATCTGGACTCACGATGAAAAATTAATTGAAGAAAACAAATATCATAAAGTAAGATAAGCGATGATGTTTTAAGATATTTAATATAATATAATTATTTGCGTGTTTATTCAGATTCAAACAGACGGTACTCGAACAAGCTTGATCATCACGGAAGCTTTTCCGAAGGATGCCGGATCATACACGGTGATTGCCAATAATGAAATCGGGAAAGATACAACATCTTGTATTGTTTCTGTGAAAGGACGTTGGCTTCATGAAACCAGCGAATCCGAGCTTGTTTGCAGAGATATAGAACTAATAGTTCCAAAATTTCAGTTACCTTTGCAAAATCTTGAAATTCAAGAAGGACAATCAGCTAGGCTAGACTGCGTGATTGTAGGCCAACCTGAACCGGAGGTAAATTATTTATATCTAAATCTTTCATCTTATAATTTACATTTTTATCATTTTTTTTTAATTTTGTAACTTTCTAGGTAATTTGGTACCATGATGAACGGCCCGTAAAAGAATCGTCAGACTTCCAATTACTCTTTCAAGGTGATCGGTGTTCGTTAGTTATTCATGAAGCTTTTTTGGATGACGCTGGTATATATAAAGTAGTTGCTATTAATTCCGCTGGCGAAGCTTCTAGTCAGTGTACATTAACAATTATGCGTACGTATCTTATACGTATTATATCTTTTTAATAAAAAATTTATTATTTCATACATAATATTTTTCCTTGCATTTGTAGCGACATCTCATGTCTCAAAGGAACAGGAAGAAACTCTTGCCAGCGGTTTTGCTCCAAAATTCATTAAACTTCCGACGGATTTGTTGGTGGCTGAAAGTGAAAATGCAATTTTCGAATGTGTCGTAATTGGAGAACCTAAACCTGATTTAAGATGGTATTCGGATAATGGAGAAATGATTCATAACGAAAGGATTTTGGTGCGTATTTGTATATTAGACACAGATTGCATTTTATTTAACGTTTACTTAAATCCGTGACTATAATATACTTATCAAATTGCCATAATATATTAGATAGGAGAAAGGAAGGATGGAACAGCCTTTTTAGAAATTTCATCAACGGTACCGAAAGATAAGGGCAATTATGTAGCAAAAGCTATAAATACACACGGTGAGGCCAAAGCTTTTGCCAGATTAGTTGTGAAATCGCTTGGTGATTTTAAAAGAAACGAAGAATTTATCCAAATGGAAGAAAAATTGATTCAGCCAACATTCAAAGAAACATTTCAGGACAGGAAAATACTCGAAGGAGTTTCAACCAAATTCGAGTGCATCGTCATTGGTAAACCTTCTCCTAAGGTAGGTAATTTAATTTTACCTACGCAGTATAAATTTTTTCATATACCTTTTATGTTTTTGCGTGTAATGAAACAAATCATTATATCCTTTTTAAAAGACAGCTACACTGAAATCCTAATAGGAATGAAAAAATTAGTAGACTTAAAACTTTTGTTAACTGTAAAATTTGTATATATAAACATAACGATAACATCATTTTACTCATTTTTGATAAAATAAGCTTTATAATAAAAATTTACATTACATAAAAAAAGAGAGCCAAATATTATAATTTGTAATATTAAGAATAATGCAATTTTTTTATTTGATCCTAATAAGTAATAAAATATACGTAGTAGATTCTCTAGGCGCTCTCTACTATATTTATATTGTAATAAAATAGTATATAATAAATAATAAAATAAGTAATAAATTATAATAATATCAAACATTATTGAGAAGAAAACTTAATAGAATATTAAAACTTATATTCTATTAAAATATTATATTATATTATATGTGTTTGTTTTGTAAAATCATCTCAAGCATTATCTAATTAATTATAAACAAGATGACTTGATTTGTGATTTTTGAAAGTTTTAAAATTTGCATTGGTCACGTAAACAACGTCTAGATAAAGTTGGCAGGCCTGTCAGAACAGGGCGAAAGTAATTTTGTGCCCGACGAGTTATATTTAAACGCGAACAATATACTTCATGTGAAAAGCTCGATTGCAGTCGTGCCGCGGAGCATAAGATGGAACTTTCGATGCGGTGCGAAGCACCGTGGATTTATCACAGAGGTACTTCGTTAATACCTTTCTCGTCTTCTCAAAATTGTCGGATATAACGGAAGCACAGGCACTCATATATTTTCTCTTGATACACATGTATACGTGTCCATTGCTTTATTTTTAATGGATTAATTAACAGATTTTATTACTCAAATAACTTTTTTTTCACAGATTCAGTGGTTGTTTAACGAGCGGCCGGTTCATGGGAAAGATTTTCTAGTTTCCGTTAGTGGAGATCGACAAGTTTTAACAATTCCTGTAGTCAGAAATGCACACGTCGGTACTATCTCTTGCGTAGCAGAGAACGCGGCTGGTAGAGCGATTTGTAGTGCTAAAGTCGAAATTGGTAAGCTAATATTATACACATATTTTTACTTTGTATTTTATTTGCTCTTTTTATTAACGACTTGTTTTATAATATTATGATGATATAAATTTTTATTTTTAAGTCTTTTATTTCCTTTCGTAAAATACTGAAAATAATATTAGAAAATGCAACGGTGTCACAAGTTATTAATACTCGCGTTACCCAGTCCAATGTGGCTCATTCAAAATTCCCAGTCAACGATAGATAAAATAGCCATTTAATGAGAGAATCGAACAAAGATACATATGAACATACTAATTGCGTATTTTGATATATAATAACTTCACTTATGTTTTGAATGAAATGCTGTCATTGTTGAATATGATTCATATTATGTTTATATGTTGCATTTATAGCATGACCTGAATATATATATATATATATATATACACACACAACATGAACTTCTCTCTCTCTTTCTCTCTCTCATATATGCGCACAAAAAACATTAAATTTAAATATTGTAGTACAAAAATCGATAAAAGTTCTAAAATCATATTTTTCACAAAAAATTTTAAAAGTATTTCACAGACGAGTCATTTTCTTCTCTTCAGTCATTCTTCTCCCCTCCTCTCTCTCTCTCTCTCTCTCTCTCTCTCTCCCTCTCTTCTTTCATTTTATACAGAAACCATGTTATTTTTATCGAATAATCGACGCAGTCTGGTCTCCTGAAAAATACAAATAATACATTTTCGTAACGGTATCAATCTCGTTCATGTTTTGTTTTAATAATTTTCGATACATGCGCTTATCATTTTTATAATTATAAAATTGTCGATACAAAAATTAATCTAGTTAAAAATAAATATTTGAATATATCAGTTTATATCAATATAGAATTAGAATATTTCATTCAACCATTTATTATACAAAATAATCAAAAAATAAAAAAGATTTTTAAAAATCAAATAATATATGGTCTTAGAATTTCTTATTTATATCTAATAAATAAATAAATAAAAAAAACATTAAGATACAAGTACAAAAAAGTCTAAAATGATTTTGCATGTTAAATATCGAATATAATATACAGGTGTATTATTAAAGTATAGAATGACAACGATAAATTAGGTCTTGGGTTATATATTGCAGCCGAGTGCTCGAATCACCTATTACTAGGTGAACGATACTATTTCTGTCGTAGATCGGAGGCAAAGTATTTCGTTACTTCGCTGGGAGCATTTCAACCGCGCGGTTGGTACGCTCCAGTACTCTTTTAATTTCTTTATATATCATATATTTACAAAGAGTGCATATTATGTTAATTAAAATAAAATATAATTTCATATAATTACGTGAAAATTCTCACATAATATGTAATTTTTTTTTATTTATATATATTTGATAAATTTGACAATCATACCTACATAAATCAGATAGAATAACTGCAGAAACACTGAAATGAATTATAATTATAATAATATTGATATTAATGCTGGTTTATAAAAAAATTAATCGTCTTTTTTAGTTTAGAGAAATAAATAAAATGTATTGTTTTTTATTTTTTAATAATTATAAATTTAATATGGACTGTGCATATTTCTCAAAGTGTGTTTCATTGTTAGCCATACATCAAAATAATGTAATCGTTTTATTGGTATAACTAGATTATCTTCCAGATAGTGGATCGGTGAAACCGGATGCAAGTGAAGTAAAAAAAGTGTTCGAGTTAGTTTCGTATTCTCCCACGGGCATAATGCATCCTGCAAGCAGTAGCGATAAACACTTTTTAAGTGAGAAAACATATCACGAAGGTGGTGGTGAGAGCCAGGTACTGACCAAAATGTCGTCGACTGTTACACATTCTTCAACAACGTCCATGAAAAAGGAATTCTTATCGTCAACTATGACTTCCACTTTATCACAATCTGGACACGAACCTACCAGCGTTTGTACGAAAACAACTATGCAAAGTTCTCAACAGTCCACCTCAGAAAATGGAGCACCACCTGTCGTTCAGGTAAATATATTTAATACGTTTATTTTATGTATTATATAGCTTTTATGTGTGAAAGGAATAACTTTTATTTGCTTTATTTTTACACCAATAAAGCGATTTATTAAGATCGTATAATGTAAATACACAACAAGTAAGAGACAAAGCCTGTACTGTCAAAAAGGTATTATAGATCTTAAGTGCTTAATAATATTTCCATGTGAATTTATATACTATGTATATAATCATTTGAATCGCCAAATTGATTTTTCAGGCTTAGAGAATTTTTACATCAAATATTGATCACATATAAATATTGTATCGCTCAATGAAAAATATTATTTTCTAGTCTCACAAAATCGAGGAGTATGAAAAAATCATACAAAAACAACCTGGCGAGATAGAACAAAAAAAGACCGTTCTCGTGTGCGAAGAAACGGAAGGTGCAAAACATGATGTTAAAACAAATCAAATTCAAAGACCGTCTAGGAAATTGATAGCACCAAGATTCATTTCACCGATTACAGGAATAATTGTCGACCAAGGAACTGATGTAGTTCTTGAAGGTACCATTGATGGTAAGTGCGCTTCGCATTACATATATTTAAATCATATAATTTATATTTGAAAAATATTGAAAAAAAAAACTGGAATTTTTTCAATGTATTTATGATTATCTTTTTCATCGTTTTGAATGTTTTCATCGTTTTTAATCTATTTTAGGTTTTCCACAGCCAACGATTCTGTGGTCAAAGAACGGTCAAGAGTTGACATTAAAAGATAATATAAAAATTAGTTATGCTCACAATCATGTAAAATTGGAACTGAAAAATGTCAATGCAAAAGATGCTGGACGATATACCTGTACAGTGAGCAATGACGTTGGAACTGCTAATAGCACAGCTGACTTGGTTGTTAAAAGTAAGTGGCTGTGCGAGAGCGCACCGCGCGGAAAAAGGTTCGAGTGAGAAAACGGTACAAGGTTGATATGATGCACGACAGTGAAGAGAACTCCGTTTCATTTAATTTAACAAAAGAATTTCTTTAATGTATTCAGTTACAAAGTCAAAAGATATAATTAATTAAAGATCAGATTAACAGAATATTAAATGCGGTCACCTTTTCCAAATTGAGCTTGGAAATGCGGTGATGGAAAATCTCGGCGATTTTCCTCGAAGCTTCTCGAAAGTTTCGGTTTATAGCGATTTCACTAAACGGTTAGCACGGCGATTTTACGAAGCGAGATTATGACTCTAAGAACTCTAAGAACTTTTTTGGAAGTAAGAACTCTGAGAAGTCTAAGAATTCTAAGCGGTGTAGACGGTATAAGCGGTGTAGACTATTTCCGCAATCTGCGCAATCTGCCTTTAGAACCGGCGAGATCGAAGCATTTATTACTTCCGGTCCGGGCTTTCTTCTTGGGAGAAATCCAATTAAATTTTGCCACAATCGTAATTATCACGTGGCATTGGTTGTACAAAATTGATTGGCGCTTTCGATTCTTTTCTAGCGACGTTCAACGTAACAGTCATGCGCGACAGAAAATCCGTACGCGGGATTGGTGACAGCGCGTGACGTATTCGTCGGAGCGCGGCGCTCGCGTGCGCGAATCGAATTGTTCTAGAACTTTCGATGGTCCGTTGTCGGTGCCTGTTTGCGTGTACCGAATTGTTTTGAAAGACTACAGAACAATGAATCTCTGACTTTGATGAGGCTTAAAGTCAGGCTCGAGATGAAATCACGAGCTCGCCTTGTGCGTGCGTTCAATAACAATTACTGTCGGTCGACCGAAGGAATTCTTACCTTTTTTTTTGAATTACCGATCTCAAACAGTGGCATACATATATAAATTAATCAAGGAAGATTGTACATAAATTTTATACAATGTATATTTTATACAATGTATGTATTCACTGTATAATTTTAGAAACAATATTTCCCCCGGTTTTCGGCAAGCGCCTCAAAGCTCAAGTAATAAAAAAAGGAGATCGTGTTATTATGGAAGTAGAAATTACTGGTATTCCTGAGCCAATAGTTAATTGGTATAAAAACGATATTCTAATTAATGAACAACCACAAAAATTAAAAATTACTCAACAAGGAAATTGTTACACGTTGATTATAGACAAGGGTATATATTTTTATTCATAAATTCTCATCATATGATTGAATAAGTTTTTATTAACGGTTCTCTCACTTTATAATTAATAATTATTAAATATTTTAAGAATTTATTTTGTTAATCTGTTGTATTACATATAAAACAGCTAAAGAAGAAGATGCCGGCAAATACATGGTAAGAGCAACGAATGCCGGTGGCGAGGCACAGAGTATCGCTGATATCGCGGTCTTCGAACCAAAGCCTGATACTATGGTCGAAGTACATAAAACTGTCATTTATGAAAATATCCAGGATAAAAATGTCATCCAGGTAACTTATCTTTAATATAAGCAAGCTATAATATTTCTATTATGATAATATAAATGGAATAAAATTTAATGTTCTGAAATCAGTAGTATTTATTGTTTCTAAACACTTCTAAAATTATTATATTATATTATATTTACACTTAGTCCGAAGCGAAAAAGGAAGAGATATCATCAGGTACTTTAATAAGCGAACAGATACCAACAACAGCGTTAGTTAAATTGCCCAAGCCTGTTACGATATCGAGTACAATTGATACTATGCAAAAGATCGAACCAGAAGCAAAGACTAGTAAATCGGAAACGATTTCATCTACAATCGAATCCCATGAAACCGAAACGAAGTCAGAACAGAAGTTCCATATGAAACTTGAACATAAAACTCCATCTATTGTGGAGTCTAAACCTCGAATCGAGCAAACGATCGCAACAAAGAAAATCGACCGTGACAAGGAAAATGTTACGAAGCCATTAATAAAAACAGAGGAAAAATCAACGATTAACAACGAAAACATAGAAACTTCTACGATTGTAAAAAAAGATGCGTTGAGTTTCTTCGAGTCCATTACGAAGGAAAGTGAGATAATGCCAAAAGGGCCAAAGGAAATGATTAAGTTAACAGAAGAAGGGCTTCAAGGAGCGAAAGTTGGAAAATTAACAAAGAATTATGAGCAAGCAACTATTTATCAGGAAACAAAGAAACCAGAGGTAAGATCGTCAGACTTGCAAACAATGAAGAAGACCGCTCAGGATATTTTTACCAAATTAGAACAAGGATCATCATCTCGTGGAGTGGAAAATAAGCTATTTGAATTTCCATATGAGAGTTCTAAGTTGCCCTCAATGGAAGTAAAAAAAACTGTAGAGGAAAAGACATTTGTCGATTCGTCCATTTCGCAACTACAAAATCAGACGGAGAATTTTAAAATGATGATGAAAAGTTTTGATCTTGTGCCGGAACCACCTCCCGAGATATGCTACATGCCAAAACCAGAAGAGAAAAAGAAACGACCTGATGTATTTGTTAAGGCAAAACAGCTTCAAGAATCTTTTGATAAAACATTATCTCCAATAGATGCTCCAATCGGAGGCGTAAAGATCTTTCCTACGTCTACTTCAAAAGTAACAGAACCTGTCAAAGCTGCGGAACCTGTTCTCGCAGTTATAATACCACCGCCCTTTGAGAAGAAAGAAACATTTGAAGAAACATGCATACGAAAGAAAGATGCATATGAGAAGAAGGAAAGCAAATACTTTAAAGAAGAAAAGATGGAACCATGGAGATACGCTTCAACGTCTGTATTGAGAAGTAGTTCTCCTATTAGACCGTGGTCATCATCATCGGATGTGGAAACTAAATCGCACGTGTCTACAGATCTATCAGAATATAGATGTCATTCAGCTGCTTCTAGTCAGCAAGAAATTTTGAGATCTACATCGCCGAAACCATCTGCAGATGCATTGGCAATGGAAAAATCCTGGGCGAAAAAATATATAGAATCAAATAGAAAATCATGGCCACCACAAACTAAACCTATTCAAAAATATGAATGGAATGTTCCTATTGAAGAATACAAAAGCTCTTCGAAAGACTTTCAGCAGAAAATTGAGGAAACACCGGAAGGCATAATAAAGAAAATTAGTACGGAATCGTCTGCCAATGTACAGAAACAGTCATGGTGTACCAAAGAAGAGTTCACTGAAAAAATAATAGAAGCATCTCCGCCTACGAAATTAGGTCCGATAATCTATAATGCCGAGACAATTAAAGTCGATCATACTGTAAATACTATGCAAGAGAAAGCTTTGTTTGAAAAATACATTACTGAATGTGACATGAAAAAATCTGAAACGACACAAAAATCTGAAGATTTCAGCTCGAAACGTTGGACAGAAGACAAAGAGTTGAAAGCACCTAGTTTGGTAAAGAGAGTCGAACCAGCTACCAAATCACTTCCGACACCACATCTTATGAAGACAGAAATAGACTCTGTCACTATCAAGCCAGGATCTCCTCCGGAAATTGGATATATATCACCATCTTTTATAAAAGAAAAAACTAGATTGGAGCATACCACGACAGTAGAAGAAAGAGTAGAGGAACCACCTATACTTCCACCAAAAGATGTACACATTACACCACCGTCTGTTCCAGCCAAAAAACCTGTCAAACTCTCGACACCACTTCCGTCAAAATTTGTTAAAGGTTCCTTTAGTCATGAAAGTGATTACGAGTCCGATTTTGATAGTCGTCCAAAAGCAAAATGGAGACCTTACGAGAGCGACAACGAAGAACCACATTATCGAAGAGTTAAAGCACCTGTTCCGAAACAGTCGACGAGGCCAAGATCTACCGAACCCGAGCCACTTCCACCTTCCAAATTTGAGACTCCTGCACAATTTACAGGATCATCACTCGTTACCACAGAATCTTCCGAAAAGGCAGCAAAAAAAATAATATTTAAACGACATGAAAGAGAAGTCAAACAACAACAACAGCAAAACTTAATTCCTCTGAAACCTGGTTCTCCACCAATTTACGTACAGCCAAGTACAAAGAGTTTGATGCCAAAATCTCCTGTCAAAAAACCGGAATCACCAAAGTTTAAAACAAAAGTTTTTCAGCAAGAAAGTGGTTATATGGCAGATACTGATGAGCCATTTCAACAGAAGGCTTCATCTGTGACTACGCAAAAATTTCTTGGAAAACACGATGGACTTTCAACAATAGTTCACACTGAGAGCCGTACTACTGAGAGTAGAACGAAATCCTTTGAAAGTAGTTACAAAACTGATCATTTGCAAAAAGAAGAATCTTCCTTTGTCTTGCCATCTATTTGTAGTGCACAAGCGACACCCAAAGCTGTTCAACAACAACGTAGCTCGTTGGAAAAGAGCTACGAATCAGCAACTGACAGCAGTAGTCTGCGCAGATTCGAATCCATGAAGGTTCGAGATTTGATGCGTGTCCGTGTGCCATTTCAAATGTTATTTTTTAATGCTTGCTTAGGAAATCAATAATTAATAAATATCATGAAATATTTCGTAGATTTAACAGATTGTATAATATTAATAAATGTGTGTATGCCATTTGTGCTTTTTGTAGCGCTATGTATAAGTGCATTAAATCAGAAGTCTTAAAAAAATATTATTTGCAGGAAACGGGATATTCCCTAAACCAATTACATAGAAAATTGGTACCAGCAGAAAAAATTCTGTCGATTTCTCCGAGTCCTTCGAAATTAGTGAAGGGTGACTTCCGCGAGAGCGACTACGAGAGTGATGATGGTAGAATATTGTCGTGCCATACAGTTAGCTCCACGAAATTTAATGTTGCCGATTCAGGTATTACTTATTAAAATTAACATTTAAATTGAAATACTTTATTAATCAATGTATAAAATTATATGACTTGTATCATTAAACCGTTAATTAAACAATTTATTAGTGTTTTATAAAATATCTGGAGACACAGTATATTAACATAAATAATTATATATAGATATATATTTATTTATGTTAGAATATAATATATTACAATACAATTCATTCTGTTATAAATATAAGTGATACAGAAAGAATGATATGAAAGACAACATATTTTTGACAATATATTGAACAAATATATATGACCACTGTTTTATAGTCACAATTAGACCACTGCTTTATAATCCGAATTACATTATAATTTTATGTATTTTAAATAGAAAATAATTAGAAGCTAAATCCTTAACAAACAAATGTTTAATTTTTATTTTTCAATTAATAATGTATAGTTTTTTGCTTTATCCATGCATAAGTTTTCTTATCTAACTTATCTTGCATGCTATTTCTTTCAATTAGAAGTGATTATTAAGTTTCGTCTCTTTTATAATCGCCACAGCTTATTTTTACATAGTGAATTTATTTCTTATGGAGCATGCCTTCCACTATCTAGTTATAACCGGTTTCATCATCGTTTCAAGATCGAGAAAAGTCCGACATATCATCAATATTTAATTTATGAAAGTAACATGAAAAATATATCAAGACCGAAATTCATTAAATTTTATTTTCTTGCTTTAATAAGATCTGTTCGACGTGTGAAACCGGCCGCTACTATTCTATCTTCCTTTGTTACTATGCTCTTTTCTCGAGCGGTCAGAAAAGGTTTGAAGAAGATCACACGGACAAACTTTTCATATAGGAAAACCAATGGAACCAAGTTCGTCTCACAAACAACATACAGTAATCGTACCAACAAAACCGAAAACGGTTCTCTTACCCGGCTCTCCACCAGAAATCGCGTATGCACCACCTCAGCCGCAACGACAATTTTACGAGGCACATACAAGCATGCCATTTACCAATGCGATGGGCACAGAGACAAAGAAAACCGTAAGGATGGATGAATCAACGGAGAATTCTAGAAGGGTTGTTACTGTTGAGCAAACAAGTCGCGTCATCAAGTTTGGCGACACAAATACCACAACTGTCCAAAAACAGCAAAAAGCTAATTATTATGTGCCTAAACCGAAAAAATTTGTACAAGGACAATTTCGAGAATCTGATTACGAGAGCGATGTAGATTCAAGCAGAATTCGACCTAAATGGGCTCCAGCAGATAGTGACACGGAGGATCCATATTATCGAAAAGTTCAACCACCCACAGGAAGAAGTGCAAGATCTTCGAGTGCACCGATATACAATGTATCACCGATGGAATTTGACACTAGTTTTTCGTCACTGACGCAGATTCGCAGAGGAGATATAGATAAAAAGATTAATTTCCAAAAATATCAGCAACATACAACTTCCGAAAAGGTCGATAATATTTTACAGCCTGGTACACCACCTGAATATGGATTCATCTCGAAAAGCGACGTAAAAAAAGCAGCAAGCCGTAAGAGCAATATCAATGCTACATAACATTTTTACATTATGTTTGTAATAGATGTATAGACATATTTTTTTTGCGACAAAATGATAAACAATGGTAGATAAATTAGTAATTACATTCACAACTATATCGCTTTACATCTTTGTCGGTCATTTGTTCTTTATTTGACTAATTATTAATTTCTTTTTCTTGTTTTACACATATATAGAAATAGTGCTTGTGCATAAATAATGTTTGTTTTCTTTTTATTTGAAAAATAGGTAAATGAATTCTTTCTTGTTTTGTACAAAATATAAAGTTCTGAAATTTTCGCAGACATTGCGTCACGTCACATGAATGATATGACGAGCAGCTTCAAATCAAAAACCGAAAAATTTGTAAGTGATATCCAATCAGATTTGAAACAGGGTAAATCGATTTTGAAGCATACTAATGACTCCAAAATAACTGATAGTGATGAGCCAAGAACTTATAGAGAAGAATCGCGAGTCTCTGAACATGGTAATACTAATAATATTACTTTTCTTAATTTCTAATTAAAAAGATATATTTGACTCATAATTGTGACTCGTAATTTGTATGTCCATATATTAAACATGTATTATAAATAATATAATAATATAATAATTAATATAAAAATATAACACATGTACACACATTTACATACTTGTAAATTACAATCTCACTATCGTAAAGTATAAAATAGATCGTGTATATATATATATATATGAAGAAGTCCATAAATAAAGTACATTAGCGTAATATAAGCGTGTAATGTTCATTGACGCAAACAGGAACAAAACAAATTGATCCGGATACTGGACTCGTATATTTCAAGTACGATTTTGGCTACGAATTTGGTATCATTTTACCTGGCGAAGGTAAAAAGACGGTTGAAAGCAGCAAGAAGATAATTCAAGGACAGAAACGTTCCAGTGACATAGAAGTGCCTATAATCCATGAGTTTACTGAAAAGAAAACAAATGGTTTTATGAAAAAAGGCACATTTTTGAACCGCCAGAACAAGATAGGAAATAAATTCGAAAACTCAAAGACTGTTAAATGGGAGCCAACATCGGAAAGCGACTTTTCTGAAGCTGAAGATATGAAAAATCTCAATAAGAAACAATCGAAGGGAGCTAGTATAAAAAGTTCGATGGCGCTTCCAAGTCTCGTCATACCTAGTTCTGTATCATCATCAAGATGGGATCATACAACACCCAGTCCGCTTTCTCTTAGTCCAAGTCTGCCAAGCCTCTCTCCAAGACAGAGTAGCGCTACTGGACCACCTAGTAATGTGGATTCTGCAGGTACATACCTGCCGTCGAGAACATGTGTTGACGTTATTCAATTTTCTTGCTTTGCTTCAATCGTTATATTATTGTAATGAAATTCTTATTAAATAATCTCTTGTTATACTTTTGAATAGCTATAGTTTCTATTGTAATTTGCATTAAAACTGCTTCGTTGCTTTTTGCGTACTCGGATTTTTCTCGAGATTTCTCTAACGAATTTACAACATCAAAAAATTTAGGAAATAAATAATAATCAATAATAATAATTAAGTGTAATAAGCCTTTCATGATACATTGTTAAATATTACTTTAAAACTAAATGCTACTTACTTTCATGCGTGCTAACATATTATTTATTTAGATTTTAGGTTTTAACAATTTATGTCACTTGCTATTGTACAATTATACTAAATTACGCATTAATCACTTTGCCACGTCTATATTCTTTTATTGCTACATACTGTTAGTAAATATTAATATTATTTTTCCAATAAGTTTTATAAAAAAAATTGTATAGGTTCACCTTGGCCGCTTAGCAACGGCGTGTCATCGATTACAGAAGTAATTCAACCTTATATCGAAGTTTTACCGAAGAAGGCTCCTACATTCATTACGGTAATATAGTTAAATTAATAACATTAATAATGTTAAAGGCTTTTTATTAATTTTAAAATAATTCTAATCAAGAATGTTACAAAGAAATGTTGATCATTATTACAGCCACTGAAAGATATTGCGGTAATAAGCGGACAACCAGCTAGATTCGAATGTATTGTTCAAGCAGAACCACAACCCAATATTCTATGGTCAAAAGACAATAGAATCGTAGAAAATTCTAAGAGTCACGAAGTTCAATACAGAAACGGCATTTGTCGTCTTACCATAATGAGAGCTTTACCCGGTACGGTACAAGTGTATATATATATATATATAATATTTATGTTTGCTATTTAATCTTTTAATTGTATTAATTTATTTTTGCATAAATTTTTACAAAATTATTTGCTTAAAATTATTTGAATGAAATAATTATATTCAAATATAAAGAAGAAAATAATAATTCTCTGTCAGATAATTATGCATTTTTCTTACGTAGAGGATGCCGGGACTTATGCATGTACGGCAACGAATAGTTTAGGTTCCATCATAACTTCTGCCAACTTGGAAGTTCCAGGTAATAGACGTTCTATATATGCCCCTATTTCGTAAAAATCTGATGAAGAAAGGAATCAACAATCGAATGGAATAAATACAAAGGTGGTGGAATATTTAATTTTCAATTTCGATGATACCGATTTTCATATTGTATCGTATTATTACTTAACCAGGTCACAAACTAATATGGTGAAGGAAATAATGACATATAATGCTCGACATTGTATTCCCTATGCGAGAAAAAATCCAAATTTTTTAATGCAGATAAGCGAATAATTCGATTTCAAACTGCTTTTCCTACGTATCTTGCTTTTTATCAGGAATAAACGAAAATTTTTATTATAATATAAATAAATAAATATATATGGTGCTACTAATATAATGTGCTAAAATATAATAGGGCAAAAATGGATTAGCTTTGTTTCAATGATGCAATTTCATTTTTATTGCATTTTATTCAAATATTTGAATTAATATTTTGGTGAAAGCTAGTCAAATCAAACTAGTCAATAATTAATTAATAAATAGTGAAAGAAATAAAAATGCAAAAATTGCCTCATCAAATAGCATATAAAATATTTTAATAGTATCATGAACAAATTAAGAAAAGTTTTTTTTGTATACTTTACTTGTTTACGTATTATCTGTTTACAAGTATATTGTGACTTGTTATTAAAATATTGTATTATATTTTTAATTTTTCTTTACGCATGTTAATTATTTTTTTGTCAAGATTGTTACAAATTAGAATTATAAGATTTGTTGTCAGAATTAGCTTTACAAAAAGTAATGATGAAAAATAACATTTGACAAAATAGGAAATAAATGCAACTTATTGTTTTAATACAAAGATTAATATCATTTTTAAATTATTCTATTTATATATCATAATATATATAATATTGTTGGAATTATCGCTATCGGATTATTTAAAAATATGATAAGAGAAAGTTATTTATTATTAAATAGTAAATAAATAAAATAAGAGCGTTCCGATCGTTCTAGATGTGACTCTTTATTTTATAATTTTTACAAATTTTTATGTTAATTATTTTTGCTTAAAATACAACAAGTTAATATTTTATATCTAAACGGAATATGAGATATCTATTACGAGGCATGTACGGGGCTATGCTACAAATCGCTATTTTATTAGCTCCTTGCGTTCACAGAAGAAATAATATTTAAAATTTATATTTAGTATGTGTAATTCAAAAAATATAGTCACAAAAAATGGCATTTTTTGTAAAATTTCATGAAACGCATCAACGTTTTATAAGTCACGTAAATGACTGTTATTCAATATTTAAATGATCGAAGATAATTTAAAAGTACGATATTTTAATATATTTTCTCATCGCAAGGGGTTAACTTTTATTTATTAATCTTGCTCTTCAGGAATTGACAATAATATTTATATACTATGTAAATAAACGTATGCTTTCTCTACAATCTAAACTTGGGTAAACTTGGTTTAATAAATTATTTCACATTCTTGCCTATATCATCTTCCTTTTTTATTCTGCCTCTATAATTGCCTTCTTTTTAGTTTATAAGATATTATAAAGCATTGGCAATTTAATGATGAACGGAAATATAAGGTAAGATAATTATTTATAAAATAATGTTAGCATGTCATATAAACGTATTAGAATGTCATATATTATTGTATTTTGTTTTTCTGTAAATAACATTAGTTTATAAACAAATGTTTTTTTTTCAATTATTTTGAAGGATAGTTTCCCATAGATTTTTGAATGACAAAAACAATGCCGCAAATTAAATTTTACTAGCATGTCAGGTTTCTAAAATTGACATTTAATATACAAAAAATAGATTTTTTTGTGATATTTGATATTTTTTCGTAAAAAAGATTAACATTATCTTGAAATTCTGATCAGAAGTCATGTATATTGTCTATCCTCTATATACTTAATGCATTTCTTTTATGTCAATATTTTACTACTTAGCCATATTATAAATAGATTTAAATACTAAGTTTTCTAAGATAGCAAATTTTCCTCGTATGAAGATGAATTCAATCATACTTATAAAGTGCCTAGTTTGTGATTATCAATACATAGTGTAATTTATAGATTCCGTTAATGTATATGTATATGCATATATACACACACACACACACACACACACACACATATACATACATATATATGCATATATATATATATATATATACACAAGAAGCGTCATTTTAATTGCCCACCTCAAATATCTCGAAAAAATGTATTAAAAAAATATATATTTCAGATAAAAAGAGATCTTTATTATTGTAAAAAAAATTTGTTATCTTAGAAAAGCCCTGCATTTAAATCTTTTATAATATAGAAAAAATATGATATTAAAATAAAAGAAAATGCATTTTATAGAGAGTGAATAACACATTTATGACTTTAAATTTCAAGATAACGTTAACTTTTCTTATAAAACAACGTCAAATAAATCACTTTTTAGCAGAGTTGGAAAGTAATACGTTACTAGTAACGCTGTTACTTTTTTCGTTATATTTTTTCAATAATGATCATTATATTTTTGTAATAACAATAACAATTCAATCGTTATTTTTATCGTTACTTTAATTTTTACTGGATGGGTTGGATTTGATATTGTTGGCGTTAAAAGATGTTTCGCTTTCATGTCCTTAGAAGTGTACTTCTAATTACCCAATAACGAGTTGGTAACGAATTATTTTTAACAAAAAGTAACTAACGGTAACATATTATTTTTTTTCAAGATAACGTTCCTCTGCTTTTCGGACACTAAACTATAATTATCTTGAAAAATCTGATGTGCTGGAACTTTTTGGTTTGTAGCATCGTTTTCAGCAAAAATCTGTAAAAAATATCTAGTTCAATTCAAAATCATTTTTTATGGTAAACTAGTGTCTTCTAGTGGTAAACTAATGTAATCTTTCACAAATAGCAAAAATCTGATAAAAATTTAATTTTAAATAAATTGCAATATTTATTATAGAAATTTATTTGTAAAAACAAATTTTCTTATTTTTTGCGAGAAATATTCTATAATATGTAGCATCGTTTGTAGTAAAGATAGTTAGACAAGTATAATAAATTCTTTAACAACCGTTATTAAATACATATCAATATTTTTTGATTAAATTTAAACATTCTTTAAAAAATTTGAATTATATATACTAATATATTAATATATGCTAACTATAATTTTATATTGTAGATAATACTTTTAAAGTTACTTCAGACATATTTATAATTAAAAAAAAAAAGATTTCTTATAACTAAAACTCTTAAAAGATTATATTAGCTCACACATAAACAACATCTTGATATTATAAAATTCGATTTATTTCTTACATAAAGAACAGAGATGATCTAGTATGAAAATAGATAGTAAAGTAATCTTGTGGAATGTGGAGGAAAATGTGAGTTGGCAATCCAAAAATATACAGAAGAAACACAAACGACCTTATATATATAGAGAGTGTTAATCCATTTTCTTCGCATGATTCGATCAAATAGTAAGAATTTAAATTATTACGAAATTTTTCAAATATAGTATCGCTATTTAATTCTAGATAAGTACCTCATATTGCATCAATATGATCATAAGAAATGCATATTCGAATGAATTTTCGCAGAATTTGTCAAAATACAAGCTTTAAAAGCTTTATTCTTATCGCAAAACAAATATGTTAAATCTACTTTGATAAATTGAAAACAACCATATGAATCCTTTTATATTTTCGGATTGACTGCAGATTATATATAGTTACATCGATCATTTAATGTAATTTATCAAGTTTTATTATCAAACTATCATAAAATTATATGACAGTTTCGTAGAAGGAAACAATTGCAAAAGCGCGGGAAAAGAATTTGATACAATACACATAACAGATTAGAATGATCAGATATGAATTAAATATTATCTGCACGAAAAACGGAATTAACATGGGTGGTTAATGAGTATATAAATTCTCATTATATACTCATAAAATGCACGATGAAAAAAACGGTGAGTACTTAATATTTGAAAGGATTTGATAAAATAATATCTAATATATAATCTTACATGTAAAATTATAAATATGACGCATATATATATATATATTCATGGATGAAAAACTATACTATCAGTTTTATGAAACAAAGCGATTTAGATTATTTCAACTTAAAGAAATTAACAAGTCTATGCAATTTTCAGTTTTATCGTTTCTTAACAATGACTGTTTATTGTCGTCATCTAAAGATATTAGAATATAACATAAATAACGATAATAACATTTGAATAACATATATATATATATATATATATATATATGTATGTGTGTGTATATTCGTGATGCTCTTAGCAGTACGTGATACGCTACGTTCGGATTCGGTACATGAATCACAAAATCATAATGCAAAGATTCTCTCATCATGTCGATCGAGATTATTTCACAAAATCTCAAAATAGATGTGTCGCTATGCGGCACTTTGGAAACGCGATGATTCACGCGTGACCCGCCATCTTCTTCAAGATTACACTGATGTTCTTGGCGCGAAAGTGCGGGATGATACTTACTTCCTTTCTATGTACACATTAACATTCGTTTTTTATTAATATTAATGATGAAACGTCCAGAAAACTGATGCACATTGATTGCGATATAAAGTATATGTTATACTTTAAAGATACGTATCGTTAATGCGTAAAAATTATATGAGAATACCGAATAGCATACAAGTATTATTAATCAGTGCGTGTTTCGCTCCGATTCGTCGATGAAACGTTAATGATTAGATGGAATTATTGCTCATTGCTTATAAATAGAAGACTACAATTATTTGTAGTTTGTATCCAAGTGTATAAAATATCTACAAAATCTTTAGTAAAAAAAATTTTTTCAAAGTTTCCTGGATAATATTAAAAATATCCCAAAGACAGAATTCACATCGTTATGAGAAGATCTCCCACGTTGTTGATGTACGTGCATATGTTTTTAGAATATGGTGTGTAGCGACACTAGTTCGAATTTACATGCGCAGGCAATGTGCTCTTGCAGAGTCGCAATCAGAGCCTGATCGTGTGGCTAAACTTGGCTGAGGCTACGTACATACAACGAGAATGATTTCTACCGCCAAATTCCATCAAGAAAGAAAGAATAAACGTATTGAATAAACTGAGACGGAAACTAGAGAGAAAGAGGGGGGAAAGAGAGAGAGAGAGAGAACAACAAGATTGCGTAAATCTTGAAACATACATACAATATGTACGTCATAAATA